GAGGGTTGTGTGTTGGCCCACCCCAACATCCACCCCATCTGTGATCTGCTGGAGCATGGTGAGGGTTGTGTGTTGGCCCACCCCAACATCCACCCCATCTGTGATCTGCTGGAGCATGGTGAGGGTTGTGTGTTGGCCCACCCCAACATCCACCCCATCTGTGATCTGCTGGAGCATGGTGAGGGTGCTGGGGAGGGAGGGGTCCTGCCAACCCAGTGCTGCAGGATCTCCACGACATAGGGCACCAATGGGATGGTAAGGAAGAGTCCTACTTAGGGCCCAGCATCAAAGGTACAGCAGAGACCAGGGATAAAGGGGTTTGCTGTATGACTCACTGTGCACACCGCAGTTTCTATGATGAGATATCCCCCTTCTTCCTGTTTTTCCCTTCTTTTATTCTCATATTTGTTTTATTTGGGGTGAGGGAGACCCATGGGATCAGGAGGCATCATGGGAAAGACACAAAGAATAAAAACAAAATGAAAGAGATGGAGCTGCAACAGATGTGTGAAGGAATGGAGCATTGCCATGACTCACTGTGGCTGTTGTCACCGTGTGCCCCCAGAAAATGCTGGCTTCGCTAGTAATCAGAGGGCAGTCTCTGCTCATCTCTTCTTCATGGTTTTGTGAGGACTGTACAGGTAAGGAAGTTAAGTAATACCCACATAGTGTGTGTTCAATAAATGCTTGACTAAATCAAGTTTTTAATGCTCAGTCCTAATAGATTATGGAGGCCGATCTCTAGCTCATGGGTGTGTTTAGAAGAGCATGTTTAACATAAAATTATGGAATGCATGTACTGCAAATACGCTAGTGGTGCTCAACAGGAAATTCTAAAATCTAACCTATAACATGTATACGTTAGACTACAGACTATATTATCAACCTGCATTTTATCATACATTTGAAAATTTATTACATTTGAACTAATCGCGTATGCGTGTGCGCTTGTACATGCGTGCATGTACGTACACATTGCGGAAGCCAGAGGAAAACTGGCTCGCAGAAGTGGATTCTCTACTTCCACCATGTGGGTCTCAGGGATTGAAGTCTCTGAATTCAGCCTTTCCCTGTGTATCTCAGCAGCCCTCTGTCTAGGTATTTTATAAGATTTTATATTCCCATGCTGAATCAAGCTCAGGAAGTACGTGCATCCATTCTAAGATAGTAAATATGATGTTCCAGAAAAGTATACAAGTACTCTTGCCTTCTGGAACAGCTTAAAATTAACGTTCCCTTCATGATTTATCTATGCTAGCCTATCTTTGATGAAAACAGTAAGCTGTGCAGAAAAAAAGAAAAAAAGAAATAAAAAGGAAAATAGTATTTTGTCCCTGGTGCCATACATACAGATGATTCAATGAAATCAGTGTAGAAGTTGGCGGTTTGGGACTTTTGTAGTTCTATTAATCTATATTTTTACTTCTTGGTTGAACATTGACTTGGCCAAGAACTATTTTTGCTATATTCTTTTTAACTGGCTCTCTCTTTTCCCTCCGGGGATGCAGTGTTCTCGGGTTTATGTATCTCATTACCACACTCTCCCTGCTTCTCCATGCTAGGTCTATTCACCTTGACTGTCTACTTCTCAGCTATTTGATTGCTACCAACACTAATTTCCAACCTCATGAGGGTCTTCTTCCAGAGTTACTGCCCTCATTTCTTCCTTCCTCTGGGGACCACACCCATCACTCAGTCTCTCCTGTCTTGAGAACCCTCCTCTCCTAATCTGCGTTCCCTTTCTTTATTTTTTTCTCAAGAGGGTGCCCTCAACATTCTTCATTTCTTTAGCCTGAATCTATAAACCAACGTGCAGGGAAAAGCTTCTGTCCCTATGCATTCAAGCAATGTTTTCTAAAGTCATATAGAATCCTTTGGTCGCCAAATCTAATGAATATCCGCCATTATTTTGTTTGGCTTTCTTCTTCCTTGTTGGGAATTCTTTACCTCTCTTCCAATGTCACCTGAACCTTGACTCACTTTTTATTGCCACTATTCCTCTTCAGTGATTTTGTTAATGCTGGCTCGTCTAAGGAATGTCACCCTCCAGAGCTCCGGCCTTGGTTTGCTCTCACAAGCTACAACATTTCCTTAGGAAACCAATCAGTTTCTATTGTTGATCACCTTTTGTTGATGTCCCCACATTTAAGTCTTTAGCCTTAAGTTCTCTGTTGCACCCCAGCACTCATATCTCTGGTTGCTCTCTTCATCTATACTAATCAGGACTTCTCAGAAGCCACCAGATCTGTCTTCATTCTTGTCCCTAGTGTGACTGTGTTTTGTACACAGGAAGGACAGTGAACTGTCCATTCAGCAGCAGCAGGGAGAGATGTTCTCTATATGCTGTTTTGTTTGTTTGTTTGTTTGTTTGTTTGTTTCTCTTCTTTGAGGGAGCATGGTGGAAATGTATTTCCCTTCTCCTTTGAAATCAGTGTGTCATCTCACTAGTTTAAGAGACTGAAGTGTTGGTGCGGGGGGGGGGGGGGGGATATGTGTCACTTTAGGCACGCAATTTTTCTTGTTAAAATAACTGGCAACAGTCCAGAGATATTAAGCTTCCTCAGCTTGCCTCCAAGAGCCAAGAAGTTTAAAAGCCAGTCTTCCACTAGACAAAACAGGGCGAATACAGGATGACTGAGAAATTCACCCCTGCTACATGAAGCTTGTGAAATTTTGGAATTATTTCTCACTACCATATGACCAGTCTATCCTGACTGATTGAAGATTGAAGAACCAGTATCAAATTTGTTATCTTTTCCCCCCTCTCTGGGCCATTTTAAAAAATGGAAACATAGAAGTATCTCTTCTGCTCTGAGTCTGCAGTGATCTTTGCCTGAACCAGCACCACCACCATTACACTCTCCTGCTTATAGTCCTCCACCAGGACTTACAGATCAAAGTCAGAATGTCTGAGCACAGCCTGTAAGATTCTCAACAGCCCAAGACTGCCCTGTCTCTTAAGCCACACCTCTGGGTCAGTAATACCTCATCCCTTCTCCTATTACCCAGTTACTCCACACACAGACAACAATATGCTTAAACTGATCCTTCTAGAAATCCCCACTTAGGTTTCATTTGCTCTAAGCAGGCTTTCCTAATTGTACCTAAAAGATACAACACTAAGTTCCCTTCACCTTCATTTCTAAATGTAAAATGTTCTTTAGCAATTAACTATGTTTCTTTTTTTAAAGCACTGTTTTTGCAGCCACTGTAATGACCATAGATTACAATCTTCCTGAGTAAGGAGAGAACATTTAAGTCATGTAAAAAACAAAATACCATATTTAACACATCTCAGATGAATCAAAGATATTTATTCAACTGGAATAGGGCCCTTTATCAAATAGGTCACATATGTAAAGCTATTATATTTGTATTATACTCATTTATGTAGTATGTATGTCTATGTGTTTATGTGTGTGTACATACATATATATGTATATATGTATCTCTCTCTCTCTCTGTGTGTGTGTGTGTGTGTGTGTGTGTGTTTGGCTGTGGAAGTAGTGGATTCTCATGCCATTTCTGTGTGGGGTCAGAGGATAATTTGTGGGAATCAGTTTTTTCCTTCTACTATGGAGGGTCTGGGGGTCTAACTCTGGTTATCAGACCTGGCAGCAAGCATCTTAACCTGATGAGTTATCTTGCCAGCAGGCCATAATATTTTTTAATTGTTCTTATCCTCTGTCAAGGGAGGCCTTACTGTGTGCCAGACACAGCAAGCATTTAATAAGCATTGTTGCTCCAAGCCATTGAGTCAAGGAGTAGACATCTATCTTCACTGATAGATAGATCTCATTACCTGAAGAAAACCATATCTCATCCTCCTGGCAGTTACATCATTGCAGCCTCTAAGTAATAATTTAACTGATTCTTTTCTTAGGAAGTAACCAAGTCAATGGAAGTGGTACTATAGCTCACATCGAGGTTTTTAATTAGCAGTGCTTGAGGAAATTTGATTCCATTATTTAAAATGCTTTGAAAAGAAGTAGTAACATTTGCACATCGTATTTACTTTGAAACAGAACATTTTTTTTAGTTAGGATTAATGAATTTCTACAGATAAAGGAGGGGTAACTCCCAAGAACTAGCACAGGAAGAGTAAGTAATTTGTCTCATATCCTAACCTTACACTATCCGTTATCATCTACATCTTCCCCGAACTACAAAAGGATTGTCTAACTATCTACTGACAAAGTACCCAGTGATGGCAGAGGTGTAGAGATGATACACTCAAGGCTTGCTGGAGAAGGACAGATGACAGGAGTTTGGAGAAAGTCATGAGGATGTGGGAAGGCACTGAGACTACATGACAACTGACTGCCCCTCTTGGCTGTAACAATCAGGTTTTCACAATTCATCTCTTGTAGCTGAAGAGTTTCCGTCCCCTTCAAATAACAGGCCGATTTTGGTCAGAACTTACTAATACAGTTTTTTTTTTTAAGTACAATTATTATTGATCCATATTTCCACACAGAGACACTTGGTGTGTGTGTGTGTGTGTGTGTGTGTGTGTGTGTGTGTGTCTTTGTTGTCCCTGAGGGGAAAAATAAAGGCTACTCTTTTTTTCTTCTTACTCCATATCCAGTTTTTAGAACACAGGCTGCTGAGAGCCAGCTGCTTTTGCTGAAGGCCAAAGAGCCCAGCCAGAGTCAGCCAATTACCAGCCCTGGGGCATTTTTGCAGAAATACACAAAACGTGTAGAATCGCTTAATTCCATCCCCTCCTAACCTCTTCACATGGAAATTGGCTGCTCGGGCACATGCTGGTTTTCTCCCAGGCCGTGTGTCGGGGGGTGGGGGTGGGTTTAACACTGGCTCTTGCAGCCCGTTCCCTGGCCATTTGGGATGTGCACGCGTTCACACCAGCGACCGGCCCGCGGCGCCTTCACGCGCTGCCGTTTTGTTTATGCGGAGTGGGGGCAGCCGGGGTGCGAAGGTCTGCGAGCGAGGACTAGATAAAGCCCGGCTGGCTGCGACACTGAAGCTGTGGCGCTGCCATGGACCCTGCGGAGAGCACCGAGCGCGCGCACAGCCCAGCGCGCCCACCCCCGCGCAGCCTCTGCCCGCCGCCGCCTGAGCAGCCTGGGTACCTATCAGCCCGGATCCATCCCCGCACCCTCGTCCCATGCCCGCCGCCCTTGGAGCCAGAGGACCGCCTGCCCCCGGCTCATCCCCACGCACCCTCCACCTCAGCCCTCGCCCTGTGCCCGCTGCCCTTGCCCGTGCCCAGTGTCCGTGCTCCGTTCTAGTTGTGTGCCGTGGCAAGGCTCACGTTCTTTATGCGCGGCTTGTGCGCTTGCCATCCTGCAGGTCCGAGGACTTCTGGAGACCTTGGCTTCGAACCCCTGGCGAGAAAGAGGAGCGAGAGGAGCACCAGGCTGCAGAGGCGGTAAGTGACAGAGTGGTCCGCAGTGGTTCAGGCTGCAGAGCATCCTCACTCCCCACAGGCAGCCTGGGCCTGAGGACTTAAGGCCCAGGGTGACCTGAGCTCCCAATCTGTCCACTGCTTAACTGTGCCTTCCCAGTCCCTGTGGGTTATGAAAGCAGGCTGGGAAATTCTCTCAGTGATGCAGACACTTGCAGCCAAAGAACTGGTTTGAGAAGAGACCCAGGGTCACAGTTTGTACCTGAACCAGAAACACTGGGTGGCATACACCTTCCTGGTTTCTTCAAAGAGTGACTATGATTACTCCTTTCCTTCCTAGTTGCCCAGTGGCCCTGGAGTGACTGAAGCCTCAGGGAAGCTTTCTCAATACAGACACCCTGTCAGGTGAGTCAAAGGCCTTACTGAAGGTCTTCAACTCCAGCCCTATCGAGGACATGGGGACATCATCATGCAGCCTAGTTGGGTAGCGGGCTCTGCATTTTCTCTCTCTTGGAAAATTTGCTGTCAGTTACTCTGAGGATTCTGTTACTTTGTTATTCACAGAATGGGAAAATACAGGATTTATTACAGAACAGGGCTGTCAGTTGGTGCATGGTGAGTAAATGCTAGAAGAACTGGCTACAAGAGAGAAAACAGACTGATTAGGAAAGCTAGCCGGTGGGGCTGGGAATGTATTTCAGTGGCAGTGTGCTTACCTGTCCTGGCAGAGGCTCTGGATGAAACGATAGGAGATATCCTGTGCTGGGAAAGTTGTTTTGAATTTTATTTTATTTTATTATTCTTAAAAGACAGTGTAAAACTGGCTTCACAGCATGCAGAGTGTATGTATTATTTTCTTGCCAACTAAAAGGGGTCAAAAGTGACCCAAGGCTGGTCTAGCTGTTTACTGTTTTTGATTTTTACTGTTTTTTTGTTTGCTTTATTTTATTTTAATTTTTGCCACAGGAAGTCGGCCATTCTATAAGACTCTTTGTAGCTTTTTCCCTTTTATTTGAGATGAAATGTTTATAATTGTGTGGTGTTCTTGGGACTTTTAAAAGAAGACTTGTGTTAGAGAAAGCCTGGACTACAACTGTGTGTTTGTATGTGGTGTATAGTAGTTGATACGTGTTGGTTACCTACATATGCTAAAAGTGACTGAAGGACAGCAAACGACAAATGTTGGAGTATTTACTGTGGCCAGATTTTTTTAAAGTTTTTTTATTTTTATGTGTCTTATTATTTTGCCTGCGTGTATGCATGTGAACCATGTGTATGCCTGGCACCCAGAGAAATCAGAAGAGGAGTAGGATCCCTTGGAACTGGAGTTGCAGATGTTTTAAGTTGCCATGTGGGTACTGGGACCTGAACCCAGGTCCTCTGGAAGAACACTCAGTGTCTTAAACACTAAACCATCCCTTAAGCCTTCTTTTGTTTACTTTTGAAGTGAGTTCAGGGCCCTAAATATGTAATTGTTGAGGGGCTGGGGACAGCTCACAAAGAATGTGCTATAAATTAGTTATGGTTATTATGTTAAGTCTCCAAGAATCAGATAAGGGGACATTTGGGTCAAAAGAAATGACATTGAAAAGGAGGGACAGGATATTCAAACAGCATGGCTCCTACCAGAACTCCAAAGACCAGGGATTTGGCTGTGTGTAGCCTCAATGGTGACAGCCAGGTTGTAAAAGGCCAGAACCTATAGAGCTGTGTCCATAGCCCATGGACTTTACTCTGTAGGAGGTATTGATGGTTATAGATTTTAGCCAGAAAATGGTATAATGAGATAGATGTTTCAGGAAAATCATTAAGGGGCTGGAATAAGGATTAAAGCACCCAAAGTGTAGTTACACGTAAGAAAGGAAGGAGAGCCTTTCTAAGCCACCAGAAATGGAAGTAGGACTTAGTGGAGATGTAGGAACAACTTGGGTGACAAAGCTTGGCTTTATAATGCACTGGGAAGGTAGGTGAAGAACAGCTAAACAGCCAGACTGCCTCCCAAATTTGTGGCTGCTGACTAGGTGAGTGCCATTCTATGACAATGCAGATGTGGGGAATGAGGAAATGAGTCTGAATTTTTGTTTGTCATATTGTGTGTGCTTTGGGATGTCCAAGCAGAGTAATTAGAGAGAGTCTTGTACATGTCAGGAGCCTGCCTGAAAGCCTTCCCTGCAAGCACAGGTGAAAGGCTGGGTGAGGTCATGAAAGGGGGCGGGGTCATGACAGTGGGTGAGGTCATCTTAAAGAAGTGCCATAGGAAGAGGTGATCATTCTTAAAGAAGGCATAGGGGAAGGGAAGCCTCCACCTAGTACATGGAGTAAGGGAGGGCTAGGGTAGTGTTAGAAAAATCAGAACAGGGGAACTCGAAAAAGCATGGCATCCCTGGAAGAACTCTCCATAGAGAAATTCTGACCAGAGCGTGAGGATACCAACTGACCGTTTTTTTTGTTTTTTGTTTTTTGTTTTTGGGAGGATGGTGGGGTTGGCAATTTCAGTTACATACTAGAACATATATTGGTGTATTGTAAGCAACTCTTTTTCTTTGCTGAAGAAATTAATTGTAGTTTTCTTATTTAATTTTCATTAATCTCTGTGTTGACTAATATTGTGCATTTTATGCTTTTTATTCATTGGTCAATTCTTTGAGGATAGGGTTCTTGACTTATTCATTTTTGATTGGTGGGTTATGTTGGAATAAGAGCTTGATACCACATTTATTAGATGCATAAATGCTACTTGGTTAAGCATCTGGATTATAAGCTCTTAATGTGCCATGCTAGAAAATATATGTACACTCTGTTGCCTAGCTTCCCATCTTTTAAAGTTGATCACACTGGACACAATATAATCTTTCCTTGGTTAGACACACTCAATTATATGTAGATGGAATTCTTTGCTCTACACTAAAGTGACTTCACAAGAGTTGTGAAGTTGCCTGTCTATTTCTTTTCTTTGGATGAAAAATAGAAGTGGACCACCAGGCCTGATTAATAGTGGTCAGTTTTTGAAAATTCTGACGTAATGATGCTTACCTGCAAATTAATTGTATAAAACCTACATAATTCTCAATACATTGATATAATGTTCCCAGATTTGGTTGGATGGGAGAGAAGAGGAATTGGGAGTAAAGACTGGTGTTGGAGCAGATTTTCCACTGAGTAAGTGTGGAGGCTTAGACAGGCTTTTGAAACTACAGTTCTTGTGCATTTCTGATCCAGTGTATATCTAGAGTTCTCTGTTGGAGAGTGAGTGATTGCTGCCAGTTCAGGGTCTGAGGTACCGAGCTGCTAGTAAAGTTGGCTGTCACCCACACCCGAGTGTTTGATGTAGTGGTGGAATGTATTTGCCTTCTAAAAAATTAGAAATTTATTCTTCTACATTTTGTAAGAATAAGCATACACATAACTTGAAAAGTAAGAAAGAATTGATCTTCTACTTATAGAGGCTGTGGCCATTTTTGAAATCTAAGCCATGTAAAAGAATCAACCATTTACTTTTACTTTGGCAAGCAGACTCTATGAAAGCTGTAATGATAGTTGTTTTCAACTTTCCATCTCAAAGCTGTCTCTAAGATGTGTAAACAAATTGTTGGCATAGAGATCTTGTGGAAATTGATCATTTTGTGGCTATTAGGATCCTGGATGTGAAAGCATAAGGTTGGTATGTCCTCTGCTTCTTTCAGACTGTTCTGGCCCAAGTCCAAGTGTTATGATTACTTATATCAAGAAGCAGAAACTCTTCTGAAAAATTTCCCAATTCAAGCTACGATTTCATTTTATGAAGATTCTGATAGTGAAGATGAAATTGAGGGATTGCCCTGTGAAAATCAATCTAATTAGTTACTTCTGGTGACAACTGAGCCGTGTAGGATTTGGATTTTGTGTATAAATGTATCATAAGCTTTCTAAAACTAATTTATTTGTACATAAATTGTTAATAAAAATTTTGTAACCACTAGAGTGTTTTGGCTTTTCTTTGTCGATAGACTAGAGTTAAATGTTGGGATTTAAGATAGGCATCTTGTACAAATGTTATGCTTGTGTTATAAATATCTGTGGTTCACAAAGAATGCTTTGGATTCTTTGTTGAATTGCAAGTTTATCATTAGTCGTAATTTTCAAAGAACAATAGCATTTGTTTGTCTGGTTGGTCTTTGAAGACTGGCTCTTGTAATGTCTGCTGTTTGCTATTGACCTCAATTGGATGTTGTAGTTACAGATGATGTAAGCTTGGTAGTTAGTGAAGAAAATTCCATTATGCTGTAAGTCTCATATATTACTATTTGTTTGCTAGCTGATGGTGAAAATGCTTCAAGCAGTTATCAATAATTGAGAAAGGAAAACAATATTATGCCTCTTAATTTTTAAGGACTGCAATTGAGCAGTGAATAGTATGACTCTCACTCTACTCTCCTTTTGTTCTTGATCTGGTGTTCAATATTTACTGTAAATGTTGAGTGATTCCTACAATTAAAACAAAATGTTTAAATTGGAGTGATTTGTATGGAGTCTAAAAAAGTTCAGAACATGAAAGTATTTTTTCTTGTCCTAGGCAAAGCTTAGATTTGGCAGACATGAACTTCAATATTATCAGTTTTCCTTTTGCTCTAGTTTCCCTGCTCACAATATTCTCATATAAACATTTTCTTATGGGATGCAAAATAAGTTCTCTGATTGGTTTTTCTTACACAGCCTTCACATGAGAAAACTACCCTATCATTTAATGAGACAAAATGGGCAATTTTCAGGTTAAGGTGACATACAAACTATCATTATGATGTCCTTTTAGTTTATATATAATCATCGGATTAACAGTTCAACTTCAAGTAAGCATATCTTTTTATTAACTTATAATCTGAGCTACTTGTGAGGATGAGGCAGAAAAACTCAACCTCGATGCTTGCCTGGCAATATCTCAAAAATATTTTCCTGCAATATTCCGGAATAAAAATTGGTAAGGTGGAGACGAGAGGTAATTAGCCAGCTAAGAAATTCAAGCTTCTTGCTTGAATGACTAAACATATCCACAGACTTTCTATTATAATAGTAAAATATATTATCATAACTTAGTCTGCCAGGAACTCTATAGACTACATAATTTAAATAAATAATGGGTCTAGAGTCAGGGAAAAAATAGTACCCAACAGAGAATGGATAGCATTATTCAGAGCTGCTCTTTGAGGAAATGTTCTCTTGCTATTGGATTCTACTCTATGGATTTGTATATTCTCCAAGATACATGCAAAAGAAGGCCCAGGACATCACCAACCCAGACCCCCAACATTAGATGCTTCTCTTGTTAACAAATTAGGATAGTGTAAGGTGTCCTGTCTTTCATTAGATAGCTATTAGTAATCCTATATGTGGTGTAGTTAAGGTATGGCCATTTATTTCTACAGAAACCCAAGCCCATGCAGCTAGGTAAACCTTCCTTTAAGAAACTAAAAGTAACTTACACAAACCATTAAGTGTAAGGATGACACTAAAAACCAAATCACTCCATTTAGGGAGGAGGAGAAATATGTGCGTGTATGGATAGAGTAGGAGGCTGGAAACCTCTTTTAGTTGTTTTCCAGACAGGCAATGTGGAAAGGTGAAGCTTTCTTAACCCACAGCAGAGGCTCCTTGCATTTGGCTTCTTAGCTCATAAAGCTGTGATGTCCTCTTTTTCTAGAACTTACAGGAGAGAAATACTCAGCAATCCGAACGTCTTGATAGTGGTATTTTCTGCCATATTTCAAGCAGTTTGATGGTGGTGTTTATCAAGGGACAGGAGCTGATGATCTGGGTGAACAAGAAAATATCCTCGGACTCGATCAGCACCAGGGCTGAGGAACAGCTTCACCCACTAATCTTTCCGCAGGAAGCTGTCATTTCCCTGTGGTGCTGAAGTTTAGGATCAGAGACTAACTGAGCATGCGCTTTTACCGCAAAACCCATTTCCCCCCCCTCCACACTCCGCCTCCCCCCAGCGCGTGCTCCTTCCCTCTGACTCCGCCCCCACCCCGCGCCTCCCGTGAGCGTGCTACGTCATGGCGCGCCTGACCCTTGGCGACCCCGGAAGTGGGTCGGGGGCTTGGCCTCTGCCCGGCCGCGGAGCCGGAGCAGGCGGTGGTGGCCGCTGGGGTCCCCGGCCAGGGGAGCCTGTCTGGTGGCGGAGCCCGTACGCGGCCCGGGTAGCGGGCCAAGGATGCTGAACGTCCCTTCCCAGGCTTTCCCGGCCCCCGGCTCCCAGCAGCGCGTCGCCTCCCAGGGGCGCAGCAAGGTAAGTGGGGACGCCGTTGTCTACTGACTCAAATGCCCGGTCTGTTGGTGCTGCTGAAGCTGGCCGGTAGGTCAGCCAGGCACCCTGCTTCCGGCGTAGTTGCTTCCCTCCCTCAGGCTGTCCTCTCTACCTTTTGTTCTTTACTGTCAGAGGGTACAAGGCTGAGCAGTAGCGGCCTGAGAGACTTCACTGCAAGGCTGGTGGCTAGATTTACCGCCACCTCTCCTCTATGAATGTGATAGTCAATTGTCCCAGCACTGCCTCCTCTGTGGCTACTCCTGGCTGACTCTGAATTTGATACCATGCTCTTGAATATTTGTTGAACATGGTTACTGTTAGCAGCAGGTGGAATACGGATATATATTTACTAAATTCAGTTAAAAAAAATTGTGCCTTGTGTTCATTGCCAGGCGAACGCTATCTGCTTGTGTTATTTTGGCACTTCCTTATTCAGTAACCACATCTTGGTGTTTTCTTTTGGGACTTCTGCCTTCTTGGGCCACCTGATTTCTGTTTTGAGTTTTACTTTATGTGACTTTGCGACCTTCACTGAACGTTCCTGCTTTTCTCCACTTAGACCTGGAGTTCTGACCTTAGATCAGAAAATGAGTTGAGATTTACATTTGTTTTACAGAAGTGTGTGAACCCAGCTTTAATCATACATGGTAGTGAGATGTTTTATGTGCTCACTGATGGCCTTGTATGTTTTGAGTACTTTTCCTATGTCCATTGAATCTTCATAGCTACCATATGGAGTGGGGGCATTTTACTGTCTCCATTCCGGGTAAAAAGAAATAGGTTAACAAAGGTCTGACATGAGTTGCTATGTGAGCATCTGGTCATCAGCCATCAATCAAGTCATGTATCTCACCCTCCTGCTGCTCTTCTTCACCTAAATGTTTGACTGTGTAGTCAAAAGCTACCCTTTTCACAGTGAGAAAACCAGTTACTGACTTTCTCCATAAAAACTTACGTTTTCAGCAGTCATTTAAAGGAAAACAAAACTTCCAAGCAAAGGCAAGGAGCTACATAGATGTGGTAGCAAAGGTGTAATGGTTTGATTGAGCAATATTCTACATAAGTTGAGGCATTTGAGCATGTGGTCCCCTCCTGGTGATGCCGTTTGGGGATGTTATGGAACCTTCAGGAGGTTTGGCTTTGTTGGAAACAGTGTGTCACTTTGGGCAAGCTTGGGGGTTTATAACCAACCACAGTTCCAGCTTGTTTTCTCTGATTGATTTCTGTGTGCAGGTAACATATGATTAGTCAGCTTCCCGCTCTGGCTTCCAGCTGCCATGCCTTCCTTGCTGTTACAACCGTTCTGAACCATAAGCCAAAATAAACTCTTTCTTCCATAAATTGATTTTAGACACAGCAGCAAAAAGTAACTAATACAGTATGGTCTGGTGAAGATGGGGTCTCTGGTTTCAAGTATCTTAGTCTCACAGGCAGAACAAATAAGTAAACAGACAATTACAATTCATACTTCAGTAGGGTGTTATCACCAAGAAAGGGTTGGATCAGATTGGAGAAACACTGTGAGCCAGTACTTGATACTAATGGAGTAATCTATTCCCATTTGGCCAAAGCATTTGATAAAAAGGAGCTGAGGCTAAAACATAATGCAAACAATGACCAGATTATAAAGGGTGTGACTAACAGTTGAGGGATTTGAAGACATTACTATATGGAGCTACTGTAGAAGGGAGACCCATGATTTGTTTTGCTTTTCCAAAAGATTAACTGCTTTCGGAATTAAAGCCTGGAGAGAGCCCAGGAATTTTCTCTGGGGTAGGAATTATTTTTCTCACTCTTGATTCTTTGATTGGAATTGAGGCACCGGAAGGGTTTCATGAATAATCAGAATGAGAGTGTAGAATGAGATGATAGAATGTACCCCAGAACTACTGACCTATTTATTTTGGAGGTAAATGAATGCGTAAGATAGATAGGACTCTGGAAAGTGAGCTATACAAGCTTCCTCGAGTATGCATGCTTCTGCAGTACCATTCTCCTGGTACTTTGTAATGAGGTAGTTGGACAGATGTAAAGAGTGGCCCCGTTCAATACAGATTATTCCACTAGACTATCTTAACTAATTAAAATACGTGTGTACCTTTGTGTCAGTACACTTTGTGTCATTGAAAGAGAATACCCAAGAGTGGATAATGGATAAAAGACAGATTTGTTTATTATAAGGGGAGGGTAAAAAAGCTCCTATCTGGCCAGGGCCTTTTTGCTTTGTTGGAATGTGGTGGAAGGCATCATAGGGCAATAAAGAATACAAGGGACTGGGTAACTCCAAACCCCGTTTATAATTAACATAAGCCCTCAGAATCTAAACAGCTCCCAATGGGCCCCACCTTGGAAAGTGAGTTTATTATATGTGTTTTTTTGGGAGGGCACATTTGGACCAATCCTTCACCTTAAAACCTTGAAAATTTATTTGTAAAAGAAAACAGAACTCAGAGTATTCTGTACTAAATCCTGTAGGCAGGAGTTGGTAAACATTTTCCAAAAAGGGCTCCACTATAAATACAGTAGTCTCCCCCAGCTAATGCCCCGTGTTTTCTGTCATCCACAGTCAACAGCATGAGTCCTCTTGTCCTGTGTCTAAGGTGCATGTACTGCACATCCCTTAGTCACTCAGTAGCCATCTACTTTATTACCAGATAGGTAGTTGAAAATGTAAGTTCTTGTCTTCAAGTTACCATTCACTCACTCAGTAATGGCCCAAGTTCTGGAAAATCCCCTGTGCCAGAGAAAAGCCATGAAATGCTTCCTATAAGTGGAAATGTGAGAGTTCTTAGTAAAAAAGAAAAGAAATGCTGAGGTCACTAATATCCACAGTATAAACTACTTTCAATGAATTGTGAAGGAAAAAAGAAAATGTATGAATTTTTACAAAATATCCCTAGGATGTTTGGCGCTGTCCTTGGTTTCAGGCAATCTTTGAGGCAGGGTTAGCTAATCTAGGTAGAAGGTCTCTGGAGGGAGCTCTTCCCACAGGAGGAAGCTGTGGTTGGTAGTTTCTACATAACACTATCAACATTCACACTCAAGGCTAGAAGATGGCTTTGCCAGTTCCCCTGTGTCTGAGGCTTTGAGGTCCTCGACATTGCTGCACTGTGCTCATATCAGTGACACATTCACTTACGCCTTCCTCCGCTCCTCATTCTCTCTGCACAGTGCTAGTATCGTCCAGTGCTTGATAAACTTTACCAGTGTGTTTGTAGAAAACATTGTGGTACAGTAATTTCTGATATTCTGTTTATACTGATAACTCAGAAAAGGTTCACTTTAGCCAATCATTGGTGTATCTTCTATCAAATCTCTTGATTGTTAGGGTTGTGAATTTTGGTTCAAATTGGCAACAATAATATAATTAGTAACAGAACTAGGAGCTGGACATTCCAGTTTTTGACTTTAGAGTTAATACTGTGTCTGGTATACCATTCTGAGGAAAGTTTGTGAGAGTATTTCTAAGTCCTATCTCATAGCTTGGTATCCTAAATAATATTTTGTTTAAAATTCTAGGCATCTGAATTTCCTGGACATCTTAAACTAGACAGAAGTGCCTCCTCTCTCCCTGTAATAATGATAAAGTCAATTAAAATTACCTAAAAGTTTAAAAAAGTAAAAGAAAATAAAGGGGGAGCTAAATTTTAAAATAAATAAATAAATTTAAAAAAAGGAAGAAAGAGCCAGATATGGCGTCTTACCTTTGTAATCCCAGTACTCAGGAGGGTTAGTGGCTACAGCTTCATGAACAGGCTGAGCAGTTTCATGGCAGAAACTCCCCTGTTGAAAACAAAGTAAACTTCTAATATAGTAGAACAAATTTGACAACCCCCCCCCACACACATACAAAAGATGAGAGGATTTATAGAATTGTTGGGCTCCAGTTTTATCTTTTCTTTTTCTTTTTTCTTTTTTTCTTTTTTTTTGTTTTGTTTTGTTTTTGTTTTGGAGATGGAATCTTGCAATGTAGTCCAGGATGTCTTCAACCTTGCCATGTTTCCATCATAGCCTCCCAGGGTTTCTTTTAAAAGGAGAATAAAAGGACTGACATAGCCCAAAAACAACTCAAAGGAGGAGGAAAGGGAAGTGGCCCCTTTGAAACTGGATGCAATTTCTGTTTTCCACTCTTAGGTACCTTTAAAACAAGGCAGAAGTCTTATGGATTGGATTCGACTGACCAGAAGTGGAAAGGACTTAACTGGACTGAAAGGCAGGTTAATTGATGTAACTGAAGAAGAGCTTAAGACACACAATAAGAAAGATGACTGTTGGATATGTATAAGAGGTAGGTGGTGGTTACCTAACACTTCAGAAACTTGCTAACTTTCCATTGGTAATATACAGAGCCTGAATCAGGATGTGTTTCAGACTTCAGTAACAAAATGACCTCACTGGACCGTAGATAATGTTATTCTCACTTTGGACTGTATTCTTTCTTATAACCTTTTACATTTTGATGCAGAAGACAGGAAACTTCTGGAATGTAAATCTTTCTGTAGAATCCCTGTGTTGTATTCCATTTGAAAGGAAGCATGTGTTTGCCAAGTAATTTACCACCAAGGCGATGGGGTTATAATGTTCAGTGGCACCCAGCATGTGGGAATAAGTGCCCATCAGAGCCTTGTGATGGAATACTGTAGGAAAAGCGTCTCTGAGAATCTAAAGGAAACAGTGTGTGTGTGTGTTGTATGCATGTGCGCATATTTGTATGTATATATGTGCTTCCTTGTGCACATGTGCACTTGTGAGAACACTGTTCCGTGTGTGTCTGTGGAGACCAGAGGTTGATGAGCTCTGTCTCAAAGCCTCTGGCTTCCACACGCATGCGTACACACCCACACTAATAACTACATACATGACACACATACACAAAGAATCAGTTCATTAGGAAGACCATGTTATGTATGGTTACAATTCTTTAAAGTACATAACAGACATTAGTAGAATTGAGGGGTAGAATTAAAATTTTCATTGAGAGTTAGAAATTTTAATTCGGTCCAGCAATTGTTAAAACTAGACACAGTAATGAAAATGGTAGTGCAGTTTCTTTATTGAACACAAGATGGCGAAGTTGTCACAGTCCTCAGACTTTAAGGCTTAGAGAAACTTCCATCTTTGTAGTTGAAAAATAGTGAATTACACCATGTTTTTTTTTTTAACTTATGAACATATCTTTTCCCAGTGTCTTAGGGCCAACATAATTAACAATGGTAAAAATTTTAAGTAAGTGAAAATGCTGTTCTATAATGGCATATATTTGCTATATACATGTTCAACATTAAAAACATTTATTGAATGGATACAATATAGAACTTCAATATTTATTTGAATGTTAAGACCTAAAATTAGTTTTGAATGTTTATTTTTACTTAGCTGAATGTGTCAGACTTTTTTTGGGTCTTGAAATCCCTCATCTGTTTCCCTCTCACTCCCATCTTCCCATGCCTCCCATCAACCCTCCCCCCATCCCATCCCTCATCCACTCCCCAGGGAGGGTGAGGCCTTCCATGAGGGCTCATCAAAATCTGTCAAGTCATTTGGGGCAGGGCCTAGGCCCTCCCCTGTGTATCTAAGCTAAGAGAGTATCCCTCCTTGGGAAATGGGCTCCTGAAGTCTGTTCATGCACTAGGGATACATCCTGGTCCCATTGCCAGAGGCTTCTAGTTGACACTCATGTTCAGGGGGCCTGGTTTGGTCCCATGTTGGTTCCCCAGCTGACAGACTGGGGTCCATGAGTTCCCACTTGCTCAGGTCAGCTGTTTCTGTGGGTTTTCCCAATATTAAAGAGCTTTTGTTTGCATGATGTCTCTAATGTTCCTATTAATTAAGAAAAGTAATGAATATTTAAAATCAATTTAATAAAGGTAATAAGCCTACTATTTGTTTTATGAAAATAACTTTTCTAAAAGAAAAATACAGAAGTACATCATTTTCTATTTTAGTAAATATCTCTAATGTATAGTTTAGTAGATGACAGCTCATATATATTGGCTGTTACTGTCTCCAGTCTTATATTACATGTCTATGTAGCTTCTAGAAAACCCCACATTTATGAAAGATCAAGAATTTTAAACATAATATTTTAGTTTTATTGGAAAAAAAAATTTCCACCTTGGACCACCAGAAGTGTCTTTCTTGAGCTTCTTCTGCAGTACCTGGACTCTACTATGCGACTCTGTGGAAGAGAAGAAAGAAGAAAATCCAGTTAGTAACATGTGGCCTAAAATATGGTGATACCATTAATTCTATACGGTGAGCCATTGTGATTCACATGCACAGTTACCTAGCCTGAGAAACTGTGGCATCTTCATCTGGGAGATCTATGAATAGACACGGGTGTCACTTGGGTCTAACATGGTGTTGTCTGTAGGTACTGTCACATAGATCTGGGTATGAGATTACAGTGGAGTATGTTGCAGCTCCGAATCTAGCCATCTGAGGTAGTGTGGCCTGATGCAGATTCTGAAGGTTGATAAAGGCTTTCCCTGTCTCTGGGGAGTTGGCGAAAGGACTGAAAACCAAGCTCTCCAAAACTGAGATATTCAAAATTCCATTGAGAAGGGGGAAAAAATGGGATAATTCTTGGTCCATACATGATAGACAGTGATGAGTGGCATATTACCTAGCCACCAAATAAAAAATACTTAGGCTTGCAACAGCATGGATAAACCTTGCAGATATGCTAAGTAGAAGAAGGAAGTCATAAAAAAACCTATGTTTTCTATGATTGCACTTCTATGAAATGCCCAGAATAAGCAAACCTATCCAAACAGAATGTGTGTGTGTGTGTGTGTGTGTGTGTGTGTGTGTGTGTGTCCATGTGGCTTTTACCTCTATTCCATTTTGTGTATCTGACTGTTCTGCATCTGTCTGGCTTCTCCACCCTTCTTGTTCCCCTGCATTCTCTCTGCCCCCAAAGTTCTGCCTAGCTATTGGCCATTTAGCTTTTTATTAAACCAATCACAGTGACGTACATCACACAGTGTAAAGGAATATTCCACAGCACTCATGTTCCTGCCGCCTTGACTTCCCTGTGGTGATAGACTGTCACCTGGATTTGTGAGCCAAATTTAAACTTTGCTTGAGCTGCTTTTGTCAGGGTATCTTACCACAGCAACAGGATAGGAGAGTAAGCTGTCACAAATAACATTTATTGCTATGTAATGGGCAACAACATGTTCAGATCTGCTGCTTTCTCATGTCACAGTCAACACTCAAGGTCCTTCTTTTTGTTTTTCTTTTTTTGATAAGAAATACTGTTTAAAGGAAGATAAGATAGGTTGGGTGGGCATAAGTCTCTGTATCAAAGGAGACTAACTGGTTTCCTTCCTAATTAGCAAATTACAAAGACACTGCCAAGTGTGATTGGCTCTGATATGTCTTAGACCAAAATAGTAAGTCTTCACTGCTCTTGGGGAAGGGTTCTGTAAACATCCCCAGCTTTGTCCCTCTGAAGAGAATGTGATGTTCTCAGACCTACAGAGTGATCCTGGTCTGTCAGAAAGAAGGTAAGAGTATGAGAAGGTTGTCAACATGAAGGTCTGCAAGGCTGTGGAGAACACATGGGGTATGTCAGATGTACTGACAAAGCTATTAAAGCTGCTTGAAAAGCTGGCTGCTGAAACATGTGACATTCACACAGAGGACATTTGTCTCGAGTAATCTGATCAAGACTCAGTTGCCCAAAAAGTTTGAAATTTGTCTAAGAAGTATCCTGTGTCTCAAAAATCCTATTGGGGGTGATTTTGATCCTATTACAACTCATATTTCTGAACTATGGGTTTTGAAGCATTAAGGAGCAGGGAACCATCCTCCTGAATATGATGGACTGCTGGATTGTCTGTGAATTCACTGCCTTTTGTGTTTGCCTCTGTAATTTTGTAGTGAACTCTGAATTGTAAGTTATTTTCTAAAATAGAAAAGTCACAGTAGCGTTTTTGGATTTACAACAGCCTCCTCTTCCCTCCAAGATGAGTATATCAGATGAACGTTTTAGTTTGGGGTTGTTTAAATGTATGGAAGTCTTCCTGAATGAGGAATCAGTTTTAGATATTCAAACAAAACCAGTTCTCATTGCATCTTTGAATTGTTTTTACAGCTGGATTGGTCTGCTATTAGCTTTCTAGGACAGATATAGAATGCTTGCTTCCTTGATGAATCCTCCAACCAGCATTTCCTGCTTTGTTCCCTGTTCATTTGTTTTCAAAGATAAAAATGTAGTTGAATGCTTGTATAGATTAAATAAATATTTGGGGAAGGTCAAAAGATGAAGGTTTGGAAAGCTTTATTCTTTGGGCAACTGCAGAGATGAGACAGGCCACCTTCTATAGAGCAGGCCAAATGCTCATCATGGCTTAGCCTTACTGAAGATCTGACTCATGAAGAAGAGATCCATCTTTCTCATCAGACTTTCACCAGGGCAGTAGACAGCAATGGGATGAAATGTTATTTCTGTGGGATATGTGTATGTACATTAAAAAATTCCATAGTTTCTTTGTGTTGGGAGAAAATTCTGTGTGGTCTTTTGCATTTCTTTATGTTTTATGAGCAGAGACAGTGTTCTGGTCAGTATTTTCATGGATGTTTGAATTCTGAAAAAAACCTGGTTAGTATGACATCTTCTCCTAGAACAGAAACAGATTACTTATGGGTCATCTTAATAATAATCATGTCTCTCTGGAGAAGAGAGCTGGCACTCTCACTGGAAGTTAGGAAGGACCTGAGTTTCCTAAGGACCAGGTTCCTCTCCTGCAGGAAGAGGAGTGTGCAGGTCACTTGGCCCCCTTCACATTACTCTGTAGGAATTGTGGCTCAAGGAGCTGGTGCAAATGTTACTTTTCTAGTGCAGATATTGATATATTGAACTTTTATGTCTTAACCAACAAGACCCCTATTGTTTATAAGAGACCAGGAAACTGGCAGGTTAATTAGCTAGCTTTCAAGAGCAGTGAAATTTCAAGCTTTACAGCTCATAGTACTTTGAGAAAAAAATGAACTCTTAAATGAAATGTTGAGAGAGATTTATTGGACCTTATAGGTTTTATCTCTAGGAAGTTCATTTGGATATTATTTCTCCTTGCTTTGATGCAGGACTTGTTTACAATGTCAGCCCATATATGGAGTACCATCCTGGCGGGGAGGATGAACTGATGAGAGCAGCAGGAGCAGATGGAACGGATCTGTTTAATGAGGTAAGTTTCAACAGGTAGTCAGAGCATGCTATGCATAGATTTAGCAGGGAGACATTTGTAGGAAGAAATCGCTTGTATTCATTTGAGATGGGTGGAATTGAATTTTGAAATGCAGGCAGATGTTCACAGGTTGCAGCTGTTCATGTGATTTTTCAAATCACTGTATTAAAATTCTAGAGATGGTTTCAGGTATGTGGCATGAACTTTGACTCCTCTGCCAGCAAGGCTTGGTCCATCTTGATTTATTTTGATAGTGATGGTAATTGATTTACAAAAACACTATCAATGGGAAAAGGGGACAGCTGCATCTGCCGTTGCAAATTACTTTAGGTTTTTGTGTTTTTTAATTTAACGTTAGTTTTTTAAATAGCATACAGCATTCTTGCTTTTTTCCTTGTAGGGTGTAGTTGTACTTCTGGTCTGTGGTACTACATGGGATCCATACCTCTTGGAGGAAGTCAGATAAAGTCAATTAATAAATAGGAAACTTTCTTTTTCTAAATTAATAGCAGAGGTTCAACATGTATCTCAAAAGATGTTTGCATCAGTACACTTTTTTCCAAATTTATAAAAGAACATTAGTTTCCCCATTATGTAAAAGTTATATGGAATATGTTAATTACCATCAATTTTGTTAATTGTTATTCTGATATCATAGTCATTAGAAGTTTAGTAATTTGCCCTTGTTTCACATTTTATTTTGTATATTAATGATAATGGTGTTATATAATATTAGGTTTTAACCATTTAAGATACCTGAATCAGATTTGGGTATTATATGGTGGTTTTGATCAAACATAATCTGATTTATGTTATTTTTTTAATACTTTTTCTTTATCTCTGAGATTATAGGTAGTTATTTTTTGATCAGGTTGTCAGAAATGTAATTTGTTTTATGTTTAAAAATACTTAGGTGCATCTGTTTGTTCTGGTGCTCATCCTTGGGGTGCAAAGTTGGTTGTGTTAGCCTTCCCTTGGAGAGTCTTCTTGCTCCTTCAAGAGCTGCTCCCTTTGTTGTTTGCTGTTTGTTACTTTCTAACAATGCAAACCAAGTCCATTTGGGAACATTTACCTAACTTGTTTGCTGTAGTAGTCTCCTGGCTCTCCCTGTGTTCTCTGGTGGAATGTACCTCTTCAGAGGAAGATTTATGAACTTAACTCACTGTGAAAATAAAGTTTTGTATTTTACAAGCTTCTGGTGTAGTCTAGAAATGTCTGGTGTCTTTCACTATATAAATTTCCCTACATTACCATGTTAGAGATGTACAAAATATATGTTGGTTCATATCTTTATTGGCTTTATCTGTTTCCAGTTTTAATCCCACTGCTGACCCTTATTTTGTCATTTCCACTAACTGATAGACCAGTTCAATGGCCTGTTGGTATTTCAACTCAGTCTCTGGCGATCACACTGGCTTACCTTCCCGCCATGTTTCCTGTTGCCCATTTCCAGAGAAAGGGACTGAGCTACTGAGTAGTCTTTTCCCATCGCGGCCCAGTGTGTAGTCACTGGCCAGATTCTTTCACTAACCTGCACCCTTTTCTTCCACTGTTGTAGTTCGAGTCCTCAGTGCTGTTTCTGTTCCTGGCACTTCAGTACTGTCCAGGTAGCTTTCCGTTCAGGTCCAGTTTGGGTAACATGACAAATATATTCATCCTATTAAAGATGATTGTCTAAACAGCACCCAACTTTTCAACTCTTTAAGTGGTCATTACTAGCAGTGAAATGAATCTATAGTCATCTGACTGGTCTTTGAGACTCTAAATAGAATAGTGTGTCAGAGTAAATATTCTACTTTGAACATACTTAAGTGCCTACTGTTTTAGAGTCCTGTGACTGACAAACCCTGTACTCTTACCTCCTGGAATCTCTGTCTCCTGTATCTGTTTGCTGAAATTACCCCCCCCCCCAATCTCACACTCCCAAAGGTAGGAATTTACACAATAGTGGATGTACTGTAAGTAATTGCAAATAAGATTTAGTTTCCAATAATAGTAAGTCCATGTCTATTTTATAATATATTTGCTATTTAGTATTATTTCTGGATTCTTAAGAAAGTATTAACAATATTATTTGACCTAATTATTTTAACATTTGAACAATACATTATGACTATTGATAATTATGTTGAATAAATTGATAATTGAATAAATGATTTTCCTTTACTGATGTTTTTGAATGTTGTGTTTTTCTTTACTGATCTTTTTACAATTGAGCATTTAAATTTTTTTTAGGATTTTGCTAATTTAAACAGTGTTATGCTGCTGGCATAGTAATGTACACCTGTAATCTCAACACTCAGGAGGTTGAGGCAGGTGGATGGCTGTGAGTTAGAGGGCAGCTTGGGTTACATAGTGAGTTCCAGACCAGCCTGGGTTAGAATTTTCTGTTTTATCATACTGGAAGATATGACAATAATTTTCATACATTGTGAAGGGTATTTTTAAACACTTTGCAAATGGCAAAAAAGTAAAAAGGACAAGGTACATCTGAGTATTCTTTTGAAATTGTTGGAAGCTTGTGAACAGGTGTGTAGATAACACATTGAGAATACTGTTCTGAACAGTCTCTGTCTGTCGCTGGCTAATTGAATCTGCTTCAGAGCACTGTATGAAGTTTTAGCTTGGCTTGTGGTAAAATAAGAGCATATTATGGAGGTAGAGTCATGTTGCTTGTTGGCCATTCGTCTCCCAGGTTCATCGCTGGGTCAATTATGAATCCATGCTGAAAGAATGCCTGGTTGGCAGGATGGCTGTGAAGCCTGCTGCTCTGAAAGGTAAGTAAAAAAGCAAGTGCTTTTTTAATAAAACTGGATTTCAGTGAATAGAATTAAATAAATCATGGTATTTTCCCCATTTTTACTGGCCTTCTGCTGTAGGTGCTCTAAAGGGTTTATTAAATGCTGGGCCTCCACATGCATGCACACACATACACATGCATGGATACCCATCCCCCATACCCACACATGTAAGAAACTCTCTCTCTCTCTCTCTCTCTCTCTCTCTCTCTCTCTCTCACATGCACGAACACACACATGAATACACGCACACTCCATGAAATGGAGAAAATAAAAATAAGGAATTCTATAGTAACTTTACCTTTAAAATGTGATGTGTTTTTTAGAAAGTTGTAAGGAATAAATATCACAGAAGGAAAAACTGTATTTGCTTCCTTGTTTTCAGTAATCTCATGTTCTGTCATTAAATAACCAGATTAGTGACACTACTGGTTATGAATGTTGGCTGAGTTTTGTTTTTTTTTTTTAAATTATTTTTAGAGTTGGTATCTCCCTGTGTTGTTCCAGGCTAGACTCAAACTCATGATCCTTTTTCTAGGCCTCTGAAAGGTTGGGATTACAGATGTGGCACATGTGTTCTCCCATGCTCAGCTTATAATTTAACTGTCCTGATTGCCCTCAGATGAGTCAAAAATCGAAGATTATAAGAAGTTATATGGTATAGTGTCACCTCTTGTCTTTATCCCCTGCTTATCTTGAGTTTTCCTTGTCACTTCACCTGTGTAGTGCCATTTGTGATTAAGCTTCTTTTAAAGTATAATACTCTAAGTTAGAGCTCTCCTGACAGCTGTTCAGGGTCAGTTCCTGACCTCTTTCAGAAGAGCACGCTCTGAGAGTCTGAATGGAATTGCAGTAGCAGGAATATTTCATATAACTCCTTTCTGTGAAGGCATATAGCCATTTCTTTTTGTCACTCATGACTTTGGCTCTCAAGTTTAGAATGAATTAGTCTGTTCAAGCAGAGTCTTGACTACATAGTTCAGTGAGTTTTGTAATTCAACACCTCATTGCTGGAAGTTTCTCTCAGTAAACTCCTGTGTAGGTCCTGGGGTTTTAGATCTGCATAGGAATATCCATTGTCACATAGGGGTAAGAGACAGGGACTTGGATCTGTAAGAGGCAGGAATTTGGAACTGAGCCCCTGTTTATGGCCTGTACTTGGTAGATCTATGTATTTAATGGAAAAAGTATTTAACAGCAAAGGGAGACGCTGGACTGTCTTGTCTGTCATGGCCTTTTTTTATAAGGTGATGAGGGAGAAAAAATAATTTTCCTCTGAGAATCTGGCCACAGGTCTCACAGCCCAGCAAGGAGGCCAGGGGCTCTTTAACTTGGATTTGTTTCCCACTTAGGTAGTAGCAAGGATTTGTATGAAGACAGGGGAGAAGCAGGTTGTTGATCAGATGGCAAGAAAGAATTTTAGGGTTCTTACTGTAAGCATAGGAGAGCAGTGCTCCTCTTCTGTATTTGCTTCCTTGTTTTACACGTGTAAAAAAAGATTACACGTGTCTTTTTTGTTTGTTTGTTTTTTCTTTTGTTTTTGAGATGGGCTTGCTGTGTAGAGCAGGTGTACCTCAAATGTGCAGCTGTTCTCTAGGCTCTGCCTCCTGAGTACTGGGATCACAGTACACACCACCATTCCTGACTATGCAAGCAAGCTACCTTTATTTTATTTTATTGTAGTGCTGGGGATTGAACCTAGGGCCTCATGTATGCTGGACAAGCATTCTACAAGCAATCTACAATACTTGCACGTTTATTTTTGAGGGGATTTAGTATGTTGTCCATTGGAGATATTGAGCTCATATTAGAAGAGCATTGACTGGTAAAGCTTGCTGCTTCTATGCCTTTTCACTCTTGAAAACCAGCCTCAGACCAGGCTTGGGAGAATGCTGAGGGTTTTTCCTGAAACAACTCGGGTTCTCCATTGCTAGTTATGTACCAGTGTTGCCAGGCCTTTCCTAACCAACTAAATCCCACCTGGGAATTCAAATAGGCCACTTACCAATGTGAAGCAAGTTTGGAATTTAAGCATTACTTAATGAATCTCAGACCAGAAATCTCAGACCAAGAACTACTACTCCCTGCTGATTTCCCAGTGTACTTAGCAAATGCTTCTGTGGTTCTGTAGACTAACAGGAGTTCAGTCCTGAACACTCTTCCAACAAACATGGGCCAGTTGTTATGACACCCAAGGAAATAAAGTCAGAAATAAATGGTAGTTGTTTTATTATTCCTGTCCAGAGCCAAAATAATTGTGCTTTAAATATTTAGGGAAAGGGAATTGAGTGGATACCTTTAAAATGGGTTATTAAAAGCAACCATGCAGAATTGAAAAAGAACCAGGTAATACTAATTTATAAGAAAGAAATAAAAAACGAAGCAGGTGAAGTTAAAGACTCGTCACCTGACGAGCTCAATAGGTTAGACACAACGGAAAACTTCAGTGAACACAAGATTGAAGAGCAGAACCTACACAGAACATGGTGCTGGGAGCTGAGAAGATGGAGTCTGCTAACCCTAAGGCTTGCAATCAGATTCTAGAAGAAGCTGTAGTGAGGAGGAGGAGGACGAGGCAATGCATGAAGGGGATAAGGCCTAGAATGTTTCACAAGTCAATAAAGTCAGATATCTAAAGTTCAGCAAACTCCAAATAAGGTAAATAGCAATAGCAAACATGGGGACTCTGTGTTGGAAGTGTATAAAGCAAAGGTGGTAAGAAGATATGAGGTGTAGCCAGAAGGAGATTCACCAACAAAGCAGTGACTCACACACGGCAGCCAATTTGGTGCTTGCTATTGCAGTTGAATTCCCAAACAACAGAAGAGGATTTTAAAAATAAATAAAATAGCACTTTGTGAGTATTTGGGGGGGGGTAGTTTCAAGACAGGGTGCACTTTGGTAGTATTAAGGAAAACCAACTGTCCACCTAAATTACTCAGTAGAAAAGTTAAAACAGATGTGTAGTAGACCAACAAAATAATCAATCCCCATCCATGAGGGTAGAACCAGGGGGTGAGGAAGTGAGGACTTCAGAGTGTGTCCCAGTCATAGTGGACTAAGTTATAAACCTTAGTTTGGGGGAGGACAAGCATGTTTCTTAGGAAAACAACCTGTGGACTTACAGAAACCAAATAAAAGCCTCCTTTTTCTGTTCCATCTCTATTCCTGATACTGATACTGATTACTGAGCTGAGATTCATAGACAGATTTGGGTCTAAGTCTCATCTCTACTACTTAGACCTGGTTTTGTTAGGTACCAGTGGTAGATTTTAATGTTTTCTTCATTAATAAAATGGAGTATAAGGATAATCACCCTTAGCCAGATGGTGTTGGCACACATCTTTAATCTCAGCACTTAGGAGGCAGAGGCAGGCATATTGCCAAGTTTGAGGCCAGCCTGGTCTACAAATTAAATTCTAGGACAGCCAGGACTACACAGAGAATCCCTGTTTTGAAAAACCTAAACCAAACCAAAACAAACCAAACAAAAAACAACAAATAAAACAAACAAAATAAGCACCCTGGGCTGGGGAAGTGGCTCCATGGATAATTGTGCTTGCCACACAACACATAAGCCTAACAACCCGAGTTCAGATCTCCAGAACCCAAGTAAAAGCTGCACATGGTAGTGCAGCATCTATAATCCCAGAGTGCTCCTACAAGGAGATGGGACACAGGGCCCTGCAGGAGCTAGGCTGACCAGCCTGTACCCAGCTAGCCTGGTTTTACAGCAGGACCAATACTCAAAGGCTGTCCTCAATGGCCACATATCCACAAACACACATACAACAACTTACATAGTTCATATACTTGCACACGTGAAGGAACATTTTAAAGTCATTGTGAGAATTAACTGAAGCAAAATTTGCCAGCCACCTATAATCTAAACTCGCTCTGTGTGTGTATGTGTGTGTGTGTGTGTGTGTGTGTGTGTGTGTGTGTGTGTGTTTTGCAGGTGGTGGTAGCTAGAAATGCCACTGCTATTTCTGTGGCCCTCCTTTGCTTCACTACTTATAACAGTGAGGCCATTTTTTTTATTTTTCAGTGTATTTCTACAATTAGTAGGTATGAACTAGCATGTGGTACTATGTTTCACCATGAAAAGATGGTTTTGTTCCTGTGAAGGAGAGCATTCTTGTTACTGTCAGAACCTGTGAGAGTATGGGAGAGTCAGCCTGTTTGGGTCAGGAATATTTTGTGGATTAGTAGCAGACAGTGATTTGAAACAATGCACAAGCATTAGGAAGCAAAGACTAGGATTTTACAGAGCAGAAAAGCAATGTTTGTGAACAAAGGGACTTTTTTTCCTTAAAAATATTTTTGTATAATATGTTTTGATTATGTTTTTTTTCTTCCCCAAATCCTTCCTACCTCTCTGTCCACCCACCCACCCATCTTTGTGTGCTCCCCACCTCTCTCAATCAAAACAAAAATCAAAGAAAAAGGCCAACAAGACAAATATATGCAAAAGCAAACAAAAAACATGGAGATTGTTTTGTGTTGGCCATCTACTTTTGGGCATGGGGCCTACCCTGGAGTGTGGCTGATATACCTAGTGACACTCCATTGGAGAAAACTGAGTTTTCCATAGTCTTTATCAGTTGCAAATAGTTTCTTGATTAGGAGTGGGATCTGATGTTTACTTTCCCCCTCGGTGCTGGTACCATGTCTGGCCTGAATTTGTGCATATGTTCTGCCGGTCTTCATGAGTTCATGTGTGCATCAGTCCTGTTGTACATGGGAGACATTGTCTCTTTGGAGGCATCCATGAGCCTTTAGGGGAGGGGAGCTTAGTAAAGACATCTCATTTAGGACTGAGTGCTTCCAAGTCCCTTACTCTGTCCATTAACAGGTTGTGAGTCTCTGGGTTTATTCCTATCTACTACAAGAAGAAGCTTCTCTGATGACTGGTTCAAGGCACTGTTCTATAGAAATGCAGTATGTCATTAGGAGTCATCTTATTGCTGTGTTCTCTTATGAGAAAAGTAGCAGTAGGTTTTCCTTGAGGTTTGTAAGCTATCTAGTCTCTGGTTTTTGACTACTTTAGCAGTGTCAAGTATGGGTTCCATTTCACCAAGTGGGTCTTAATTCCAATCAAAAAGTAGCTGGTTTCTTCGGTGACACTTGTGCCACTATAGCAGGCATGTCACTGTTGTATGTAGTATGCAGAGTACTTTCCAGCACCATGAATGTCAGTCAGTCAGGTGGGCACAGACTCAGCTTCTCTGGGTTCAAGTAAGTGTTGTCTTCATCAACAGGACCTTAACCATCAGGTTGTGGAGAGCAACCAGTAATCCTGGCAATAGCCTGTGATGTTTTGATGGGGGGGGGGGAATGGGTCTCCTTTAGCCATCTAGTAAAGATATATTATTAAAACTTAGTCTTAAAATACCCACCCAAAAGATTGAAAGACAGACCAAACAAGCAGTGGGGTTGGCAGACACATTATGTAAGATGTAGAAAGATGTAGTAGACTGAACAGAACATTTTAAAGGGACTGAACAGTTAACAGAGAAAGATTTGATGATGTATCAGAAATAAGTAAACTGTTTTAGCAGTAAGTACCTTGTATGCCTCTCAAGGAATTACACTAAGCTTAGCCATAGCAGAACTCCTGAATGACATGGGGACAGAACTCGAATCAGGATGTCTGGGAACAGGGTGAAGAGACTTCCTGCAGTGGAAGTTGGTGGCGGGTGGTAGAGACGCTGAAGAGGAATGTTATACAATGGCTTTTTTTCAGTGTCCAAGATGGAGACTTTCATAATTACATAAAGTGAGCACTTCACCATGACATTTCCATACATGCATATAATGTATCCTGCTCATATTCACCTCCTAATACCCTTATCCTCTTTTCTTCTTTGCCATCTCATATCTGCAATGTTCACCAGAGCTGGGCTTTGTTAATGCTTGATGTTCATTCATAGAAGGAAGGGCAGGGAGAGTCACGGACCACTCACTTGGCAATTCAGCCATCCTTCCCAACTAATTGGGTGCAGTTCCACCCTAATTATACATGGCCTTGGGGGCGTCAGAGAAGGGCTAGGGGACATAGGTGGGGAAGAACTAGGGGACAGGGTACTATCTACACAGCCATGGGGAAGTTATCATTCATGCTGGGTACAGACCTTTCAATGTGTCTCCTTTAAGGTCACCCAGCTTGTGCCTGTAACTCCTCATGCATTGCTCTGTAAGTGAACCTGAAAACTCAGTGGTTCCCAGAGTGATTTGTCATGGGACACAAGAAGAAGGGGTGGACATTGTTCATGTCTCCCCCAGGGAAGGGATTTTAGCAACATAATTCAAGCTAGGCGGTGAGATGTCCCTGTTGAGAAGCAGATGCATATCTGAGCTGCAGTTGTGTTTTGCAGGGTTGCGGTGACTGGCTGATGTTTATTTGGTTCGTATTTACTTTGCTTTCTGGTAAAGCTGATCTGAGGACATGTGTATGTTCACTCTTGCCACTGCTGTCACTGCTCTGCCCTTTTCCTTACCCCATGCTGAAGAAGTGCTGTTGGCTGCCAGGCCAACCTCTGAGTAACTGAGCCCTTGGAACAAGAGGCTTTGGCCAGGCAGAGCATTGCCATTTGGCCAACATAGGAAAAGACCTCAGTTTGTTTTTTCATAGAGACTTCCAAATGACTCAACTAGTTATCGAGAGAGAATATTGAATTTCTTCTCAGGGGAAAGGTTTCTTCCAACTAAAACAATGCAGATGTAAATGTGTTTAACATGGAAAAGAGTTTCTGTGGCTCAGCTTTTCAAAACTTAGACTGGTGTAATTTTGAAGGTAATTTAAATAATTTAAGAGCAAACTTTCTTCACACTGAAATTTCATATATTAAAAAAAATGGGGGGAGGATACTCCTGCAGAATCCATTAAGTTCTGACAGACTGAATTCAGTGCATATTAAGAAAATAGTCCTCTAATGTAATATTTTTTCCTAGAAACAAATTACCTGGAGTAATTTTTCAAAATCTATGAGTGCCTTGGGTAAAAACAGTTTTTTCTTTCTTCATGACAAATGAGATTTATCAGATTGCTGGCTCTATAACACACTAAGATGGATTTAATAATCAGTACTGTGAATTTGCTGTTTGTTCTCGGGTAAAATAGATAATCACGGCCACAATAGCCATAACAGGTAAAACTAATGGAGAACAGTTAGCGCCAGACAGTGGGCATCAGTGATCCCTTACAAATGGCAATGGCTTGATGTTTCTTTGGCATTAATTAGCAATAGCTACTTGAGGTGCCACTTTTATGGTATTTTAAGTCTTGTGTGTTTTTAGGGAGTATTAAACAACAGCATGTCAAGAAAAATAGGGCTAGATTTCAGGGGAGACAGATTCACTCGGCTTGTTGAAGGGCTTTGGATCATTCTTATTTTCATTCTTGAAGAAGAGAAAGGCAGTGGTTAGTTGCATATTGTAAGAGTCCTTTCAGTTATAGGATTATTTTGATTAAAAGGAGGAAATGATGACAAGGTGGTCGTCTTAGTCATTGTCACTCTGTTAGGTGAGTGAGTTACAGTTGTGTATGGGATTCTGGATTATTAGAAATTAGAAGACAGAAACTTTGAAAGCAGAGCATGGCACACACCTGAAGCATGTGGGGGATTTGAGGGATGGGGAGGGCACTTTGATTCAAGTGCGTTTCTCTTTCTTTAAAGCAAGGGGATGTCATTCCACCAGTGTCACCTTTCAGTTGGACTTTGGGATATGTCATTTTAGTTTATCAGCCTGTAAAACTTCTAAAAGTCCCTAGTAACTTACTGAGGGGATTAAACCATAATTGTGTCTCTGTTGTGATTACTAAGATATATTAGACTTTTATGAGTTGGCTGCTATCCTGAAAGAAAATACCTGTTGAAATTTTTCTGGGTTGTAACTCTAGTAATTGTATGCACATATAAAAGTCTTAACATATTTGTCTCATTTTGGCAACTTTATGTTTATAACAGTATAGATAAAGATACAGACAGGCAGACTGATATTAGATATTAAAACCTCTTTGGAGTGTTAATATTTGTATTTTATAGACTATAACCTGATAAATTCTGTTTTCTTTATATTAATTTAGAATATGACATTTCATATTCTAAATGTATGTTTATGTGCTCTTTGGAGAAATTAAACAGTAGCTCATGTATGTGTATGTGCTCTTTGGAGAAATTAACTTTGGCTCAATGGTAGTTTTCTCAGAATCCACAGATTGATTGCCAGTAGGGATCAAGAAATAAATTTACCAAGATATTGGGGTGGGGAGTTATGTGTGAGCGTGTACACACACACACACACACACACACACACACACACACACACACACACACACACACACAGAGACACATTCATACATGCATAGAACCTTGGAGAAGTGGCCTGATGGTCTCTAAACACCACACTGACCTACTTGAAACAAAGGTTTTCCATGTCATAGCCCCATTCCATCCTCAGGCCTTAGAAGAAAGCAGCCCTTTGAGACTCTTAATAGATTAACCAATAAAAATGATCTTCTCTTTAATGTTATACTATTCTTACCCGACTTTTTCCTCCCCAAATCATCATACAGACTGTCATGAAGGGAAGAGAGTCTTAAATGGTAAGTCATGTAAATTAATAATAAAAATGACTCCTATTCACATGCTTATATGTAATATTGCTTCTCAGAATTGTCTTGGGTATTTAGATATTTTTTTTTAAATGCAAAAGCTGTCTTTGCTTGTCCAAACTTAGGGGATTTCATAGAACTTTATGGGCCCCTTATTTCAATAATTGCCTCTGAAACAATGGCATGAAATCTCTAAGCCCAAAACATAAATACTTACAGTGACTAAAACAGGACCAAGGTGACTCCCTTGGGTGTGCATGTGAGCTCACACTGATGTTAGGACAGATTCAAGTAGCTTATTAATCTGCTCTGTTCCTTCATGCTTGGCACTGCCCCTTCCATACCCGGTTGTGGTGTGGTGGTCAGTACTGACTCATGAAATGAATGGGGCTCCTCTGACTGAACTATGTTATAGTACCTGTAGATCCAGATTTTTTCCCTCCCTTTTTGTAAAACACAGTTACAGAAATAGAGCTAGCAAGCTAGGTTTTCAATGGACTCAACTCCTTTTTTGTAAGTGTGAAAATGTGTAATTTGCAATTTATTATGTTGAAGTTGTTATGCCATAACACTGCAGTAAATGCAGTAAAGGAAAGGCTGATCTTGGGCTTCTTGTGATGGTTGGCTCTTCTGTGATGCTACAGAAACAACCAGCCTCCTTGCCTGCCACATGTCGCTTTCAGCATCTTTACTTCCAAGTAATGTGCAAGCATTATGTGTTGTGACTTGGGTCCTGTATAGTAGTGGGGTATATAGTATCTGTTTCTGCATATGTATCTGTGTATATATGTATATATTTGTATTTTGTAACTGTTTCTCACATTTGGCTCAGAGAAATCCATGTGGTAATTCTATATGTTCCCAAATGTGAAATGCCTGCTTTCCCTGTCATTATTCCAACAGCTGATTAAAATTCTGATAGATGATCCCTTAAAATGATGTCACTCTGTCAGTTAGTACTTTGAGATGGAGAATGTTCTTTTGGACCACCTCACTCACTTACTCTGCTCTAACACAGACTATACCATGTTCCCAGAAAGATGTGCTGGAAGATTTAGTTTATGGAACATGTTGAAATCAAGATAGGGTCTGTCAAGTTGGATTGCTCTTCTAATAGCTGTGTTTTTGTACTACTCTCTTGACTTTTAAAAGGTATCTGGAAATGGTCTCCTTTGTGCTTTCCTGTGGTTTGAAAAAGAAGTAGTGGTTCGCACAACATCCCAGTGCTGGCACCAACCTTAAGTCCAGCACCAACCTTTTCTGATATTAATCAAACATGAGAGATCATACAAGATCAAAAATGACTGGAAATTTATGAATTCTGTTGATGCCTCTCCTTACAGAAAATTTTAAATTTTGAGATTTTTTTAAGAGACCCACCAAAAGAGAAATGACAATCTTTTAGTAAAATATGTTTCAGTACTTCTCAAATAATTTAATAAGACTATATTTTTTAGTGTATTCATTTTAGAAAAAAATAATTCTTGTGGCCCTGGCTTCAGTTACAAGGCCCTGTGGTCACATCTCTGAGGCTTCTTGGTGTGAGAATATAGTGTGCTCTGCGTAGTTACAGTGGAAGAGACGAAAGCTGAACAAGCCAGGTGGCCTCACCAGGAGCCTCATTGCAAACAGCATTGCTGTTCTGCATCTATGTTCTGTCCTAAGCCCGTGTATCCAGGGGAGTTCTGAAAACCTCTAGCCTGGCTCATCTGGAAGGTGCTTCAGACTGCAGCCTCCTGCAAGGACTGGGACTAGTTTGGGAGCTCCAGGCTAACTGGCTGACTATTTTTTCCTGTACTTTGGGAAATGGTAACACAATTGATGCTTCTTTTCAGAAGTTACTTATCAGCAGTCCAGGTTCAAACAGCACTCTCCTCTTGAGAGAGGAAACACTGAGTGCTTGCAGACAGAGTACTTCCCTGTCTCAGAGCTTCCTGAAGTGACTTGAAAACAAGTTTCTGTGGCCCTTTAAAGGTCATGTTGATGTAGACCCATGTGAATGAATAAAATGGAAAAAGAATACCATATCAGCGAGCTAATAGAACTGCAGTACTCAAGCACTGTGGTAAAATGTGTCAGCTCCTTCAGCTGTGCGGTGTTTTAAGTCAACATGATACAGCTAGAGCCATCTAAGAGGGAGGAGTCTCTATAGAAAAAATACCTCCATAGGATGTGGCAGCAGGCAAGCCTGTAGGGGATTTGCTTAATAAGCATTTGTTGTGGGAGGGTCCAGCTAATGTGGGTGGTATTTTCCTTTGGCCGGTGGTCCTGAGTGCTATAAGAAAGCTGGCTTGAGCAAGCCTTGAGGAGAAAGCCAGTAATAATAGCACTCCTCTATGGCTTTGGCGTTGGTTCCTGCCCTGGCTTTCCCTTCGTAATAGACTATACTATGGAACTGTTAGTGGAAATGAACTCCCTAAGTGGATTTTGGTCATGATGTTTTATCATGGAAATGGAGCCCCTAACAAAGACAACAGCCATTTTTATTAAAGGTAAACATGCATGTATACTCTGTGCCCATTAGAAATGTAGATTTTGCCTTTTAAGAACGTGTGTGCAGGTGAGCAAGACTTAAAACCATTCCTGTAATAGCTCCTGACCAGGAGTGACCAGAATGCCTATCACTAGAAAAGAGAGTAAATTGTGATTAAGTCATACAGTGCAATACTTTCCAGTATAAAAAGGAACAGACTACTTATGCACTTAACAGAATGGCTAGAATCTTAGGAAATTCTAGGTTTGACTTGTTAGAACTGTAATGTGTATAAGGATGGACAAAAACACCATACCAAAATATAAGCCATGCCTTATGATCCCTTTTCTACATAGTATATATCCATCAATGTAAAACCTACTATGGCATCATAAATCACAGTAGTGGCTACCCTTGGGAGAGAGCAAACTACTGGAAAACATATAAAGAACATGCTGGTGACAAGGGTCTGTCTTTCTTTACTAAAATGCATTTAATAGCATATTTATCACTTACGTCCATTATGTATGTGTGTACATGAGTTAAGTGTGGTGTAGATAAATTACTGTTTTTCTTTGTGAAGGCATGCGTCCCAAGAGCCAAGTGACAGATACACTGCCCAGGGAAGGCCCTAGTTCTCCAAGGTATGAACTCTTTTTACATTTCAAAGTGAGAGCAGTTCTACACAAACCCACAAACATCGAAGGAAAGAATCTAGCTCAGGGAGGGGTTGGTTTCTTTCTTACTGCCAGCCAGTTTTGCTTAGTGCACAAATGGCGGCACCTCGTTTATCAGATGTGGCTGCAGAATGAAGCTGTTCCATTAGTGATTTTTAGATAACTGAAGTTTGATCCATTTTAGACACTTTAAAACACTATTTTCAATGTTTTTTCCTAGCCAGGTAGTGGTGACTCACACCTTTAATCCCACACTCATGAGGCAGAGGAGATGGATCTCTGTGAGTTCAAGGCCAGCCTGGTCTACAGACTGAGTTCCAGGACATCCAGGGTTGTTGTACAAAGAAACCCTGTTGGGGGGGTGGGGAGAAAGAAAGGAAGGGAGGAAGGAAGGAAGGAAAGAAGAAAGAAAGAAAGTTAGAAAGAAAGAAAAAAAAGTTTTTTCCGATGATGAAATATATATTCAGGGTAGAAAGTTTAGAAAAGATAGAAACACAAAATAGTTGTAACCCCATTAAACCTTAGACATAAATGCCTAACACTGAGGCTAACTGATTAATGAAATACCTTTCCACACTCTGTTTATAGTAATAGTATCACGGGCTCGTCAGTGAGCAATATCTTTTGTTGTTAATATTCTGTGAAAGCATTTTCTTGTAATACATCACATAGCCATGCCATCATTTATTTCAGTATTCAGTCTTTGTATGTCTATTTTGGTGGGTTTTTAAAATTTGTCTTAATGGAAATACTTTAAGATATTTTAGACACTAGTTTTCTTAAATAATTAATACCAAATTTTTGTTCATCATACCTCAAATGTACTCAGGGTTCTTTTTTGTTGTTCTTGTTCCCCTCCACTAGTCTGTGTTGTTCTAACAGCAGCATCCTGCTATACATGTTAAATAAGGTTGTGGACAGTTTTGTTAAGGGACCGAAGATGCCTCCTCTAGATCCATGTGGTTGTCTTCATGCAGGTAATCGGTGCACAGTACTGATTTGATCAACAGCTAGAGCACAACGGAAGACTTTAACCTTTATTATTGGCCCAAGGCCTTGAAGAATGAACTTTCTTTAAATTGTGTGTACAAAATTGCTACTGTGCATGTGTGAAGGTTTTGACAGCCTTGGGCATAGGCTCTCACCTTCCAATTTGTTTGTAACCGGTTTTTTGTTTTGTTTTGTTTTAGTTTTTGTTTTTTATTTTTCTCCTGTTGTTTGCTGCCACATGTGCTAAGGGCATCTGGCCTGTGAGCTTTCAGGGATTCTCCTACCTCTGCTCTCCTTCTTCTCACAAGAACACTGGGATTACAGATGTGCACTCCCTCATTAGGCTTTAGGTGGGCTGTGCACATTTGAACTCATGTCTTCATATTTATCTAGCAAGCATTTTCCACTGAACCATCTTCCTAGCTCAAGAATGAATTTCTTTAGTAGTGACATTTTCATTATAGAGAAGGAAGATGATGAGCATGCAAATTTCTTTGGCTCCTTAACAACACGTGGATATATTCTGTTATTACTCTGAGAAGATTTTAGTAGAAAAATGTATAGCCTTTATTTTGCCCATTTTGGTGGCCTGTTTGGAAATAAATGTCAGGTATATCATGATGACTGTAACATGTTAAGGTTATCATTGAGAGATGAGTTTTACCTGGAGAAATATATTTCCCACTGTGGATCTTAAACACTTCTGATTTCATGTGTTATTGTACATTATTCTGAATGTTTTCTCATTTCTCTTACTGTCTTACAGCTATGACTGGTTCCAAACAGAGTCCTCAGTCACCATTGTTATATACACCAAACAAAAGGTAAATATGCTGTCAGAAACAGAAGGAAAACAAATAGTAAGCAGGAGTTGGGTTTATTTATATGCAGGTCCTTTTCTAAGATCTTTTAAAATATTTACTTGTTCGTTCTCCACAACAGCCCTGAGGCAGAAAGCAATCGTCTCCCTATTTTACAAAGAAGGATTAATTTTTTCCCAGAAGTTTTGTGTTTGGAAACTGGGTAGGTATTCTGGCTACTGCCTGCTAGATGTACTGTTACCACAAATGCTGTGTGCTTTCCGGTTAACTTTGCCATAAGAGTACACATTCTGGGATTAGAAAGACTATACTGCCAAGGCTTAATATGCTTGAACTGTTACTGGCATTTGGATGCCTCTGTGAACAAAGGTTAGGGAGCTCATTCATTTCTGAGTCTTCAAGAAGCACCTCTTTTATGCAAGGCACCATTAGATGTCAGAATATTATCCTGGGCCAGGTCCATACAGACTTGGCTTTCACAGGGTGGCTAGTCCAGCTGGAAAGTTGCATGAAATAATTAGTGTTTCCAGCCACATCCTCCAGCACCTGCTGAACTTCCACATTTGAGGAGCCTTGTGAATTTAAAGGCAAGTTCTGACAGCTGGGGATTTTCAAGCATTCAGGCTTCTTCTGTAGGCGTGTAGAGCCTTATCTGAGCCAGGGCCTCCTCCCTCTTTTGCAGCAGTGATTTGACCGCTGTGCTGGAATGGCCAGCTTCTACCTGATGAAGCCAAGTTGGTCCAGCACACCACTAGTCCTACCTTCTACTCCCTCTAGCTATTGTTTTGTCATCCCCAGTCTAAAACAAAGAGGGTAGGACCTAGAGACATTGACATCTGTTCCTACAGTAATTTCAGAGGGGTTTGAAATGCAGTGACCAAGGAAAGGGCAGCTTACAAATGGAACCGTGTGGTCATGTGGTCAAGGCATAGTATGAGTACTAAGTACCATAGCACCTTTCTTCCATCTACAGAGAAACGAAAGCCACCTAAGAAGTTCCTTGAGCAATTTTGGGATAGGTTGAGATCAATAGGTTATATATTTCCAGCATCACACAGTAGTGGAAAAACTAAGATCTTGATTTCTGGGTCATATTCTTATTTTTTACTACATTGGTTCTTTAAAAAAAATTTCCTGAGCAACTAATAGATGCTGACCAATGCTCTACAGATAGTCTCTAGGGTTCATGACTTCAAGACCATGGCCACAGTGGATATCAAACAGAGGAGATATGGCTGAGGATTACAATGATGTTCATAGAAGGGAAGGGATTGACTTGTGTGAGGAAAAAATGAGATCAGAGAATAATGTTTATGTTGCTTGGGGACTTGTAAAGTAGTACCATGAAAACTTCACTCATCATCCCACAAACTGGAGTTGTTTGGAGGCAGTTCTTACTTTTTAATCTTTCTATTTTTGCTTCCTTTTAAGAATATCAACTTAGACTCGGTAATAGTTGACCTCCAGGATGACTCCTTGAGAGCAGAAGTGGTTATCAAGGATCAGTCTTACCTTATACATATTGGTGAGTATCTTATTTTCTTTTCTTTCTTTCTTTTTTTTTTTTTTTCCGAGACAGGGTTTCTCTGTGTAGCTTTGGAGCCTATCCTGGCACTCACTCTGGAGACCAGGCTGGCCTCGAACTCACAGAGATCCACCTGCCTTTGCCTCCCGAGTGCTGGGATTAAAGGCATGTGCCACCAATGCCCGGCAAGTATCTCATTTTTACTAATTAGAATATTTTTGTTTTCTTCCATAATGGCAATATCATGGTCTGCATTCTAGAAGGCTGTAATATTTTATCTGCTGTTGTCATTTCTGATCATTTTATAGTTGCTGTTTTTCCTTCATGCTAATAAAAATGGCAGTACAGTCCCCTTTCCAAGTTGAAGCAATTAGAAGTCTAATTGCTAATGTGCTGCCCGTTGTGTGACAGAGCCCCTACTTTATTCAATCAGATGTGATCAGAATCAATCATAAAATGTTCACCCAACTTTGTAAGTCCCCTTATGACTAGCACATATTTCTGGGTTATAACTAGAGTTGTCCCCAAAGCAGTGCTGGAAAGTTCCCAAAAGGATTTGTCCCCACACTGTCCTAAATGAGATTCTTCAGAGAAGGAGTCCCTAACCACCAGTCTCCATTTAGACCAGTGGTTCTCAATCTGTGGATCTTGACCCTTTTGGCAGACCTCTATCTCCAAAAGTATTTACATTGCGATTCCTAGCAGTAGCAAAATTTCATGCATGACACAACAACAAAATAGGTTTGTGGTTGGGGGTCAGCATAACATGAGGAACGGCATTAAAAGGTGGCAGGGTTAGGAAGGTTGAGAAGCACTAGTAGCCACATCCTAGGGAAACTTATTTCAGAGGGGCTGTAGCATAGCACAGAATGACTATTAAAAGGGGGGATTTTATTCCTCCTTATGACTATAGTGATGTAGAAGAGGACTCAAATTGTGCATATGTAAGGATTTGGGGCATTTGGCGAAGGGCTGTAACTACTTTCTTAAAATGTTTTGGATCATTGGACAGCAGCATCTTTCAGTGTCTGAGACTATTCATAACCTCTGGTTGGCCTCAAGCCCACATGTAACTGACTGGATTCCATCAAGACACTTTGTATGCTTCAGGACAGATGAGGCTGGTTGGAGAAACTGGGTATGTCCCACCTGCACACAAAAAAGCCAAAAATTCCAGAAAAAATTATGCAATTCAACATAAATGTACTCAAGCTAGAATTGAGCTGGAAGCCTCTTTCCTGCTTCCTAGCTTTCAGAGTGTCAGAGGTGTCGTGCAGGATGCTGAGAGGGAAAAGGCAACAAGAGTTTTCCCTAGCAGTGAGCTCTATGAACTATAGCTGCCAGGAAGCTGTGGCATGGGCAACAGTGGCATGGCGTTATAGGGGTAATTAACCTGATTAGATTTTAGTATGTTCCACAGAAGGGATCACATGCCTGGTGCTCTACACCTAGCCCCAAACCATGTATAGATAGATAAAAAGTCAAAGTACTTTCTGAATATCTGTGGTCATACTCTACAGAGGGGCTAATCTCAATCCTACTCAGAGAAGCTTCTATTCATAGTGAATGGTGGTGAATACAGAAACTCCTGGCTGCCCAAGATGCTGAGAATAAGTATTCGATGAGGGCTTAGCCCTAAAGAAGTCATTTGTATCACTACCTCATAATGCTCAGGGAACTCTGTGGAAGAGGGAACAGAAGGAATTTAAGAACCAGAAGATAGGGAGAAGGGGAGTGAAATCCCATTCTCCAGATGATATAGCCAATGTAATTACAGAATCACAGTCACTGTGGTAAATCTATACAATATAGGTCTTCTCAACAGTCATTCATAGATGGGGGATGGATTAGGGGAGGGGACTGTGGACCCTATCCCTTGCTACTGAAGAACAGGTACTGATGGAAACTAAGCGAAAGGGGCCCACTGTCTTCAGTTGTATACACACTGGTGAGCCAGGCTCTTGTGCATAGTTCCAATGCAAGGACCACACAGACAACCATGGTCCAACCAGAGAGATACAAACAAAAGGCATGAATGTGAAAAGGAGATGGTTAGGGAAGAGGATCGGTGGACAGGGGAGAGAGGGGAAGAAGAGAAGGTAGGGCTGCAAGCAATCAGAGTGCATTCATATACATATGGAATTATCAAAGAAGAAAATTAATAATAATAAACAAGCACTGGATGCCAGTGCTGCATTGGAAAGACTGAAACAGTACAGAATTCAGATGCCAGATAATCATAGTGACATAATGAGATTTAGAGCAAAGGTAGTAAAGGCACACCTTGCCTTTCCCATTTGTAGAATAGATATATGTAAGTATAAAGATCTGTCTCCTGTTAGCCATTGCACCCATAATACCTGAAAGTGCTTGCTTGCTTATACATCCAAACTAATTGGGGGCTCTAAAAGGTGTTCAGATGTATATATATATATGTACACACACACACACACACACACACACACACACACACACACGAAAAGCTAAGTTGACTCTGTCTTCCCTGTGTAAACGGGACATAGGGTGCACAGCTGGGCTTGAATCCCAGGTGTTTCCTCCTCCCTCAGCTGCCCTGCTTGATTCTTTCTCTGTATGATTGTTAGTTTGGAATGACATGGGTTACCAGCCTGTGAGTGGTTGAACATTTACTCCTCACTTAATAGAGAGAAGTATGGAAAAATGGAAGAAATTTAAGTAATTTGACTCTTTTGGCGCATGTAATTTCTTTTAGTCTCTCAGTACATTAAAATGATCTTGCATGTGTAAGATTGGTTTATTGAATTGAATTTTGATGGTAACTACATTTTTTTTTTTTAATCTCAGAGCTAAGCCATGAAGTTCAAGAAAATATTTCTGGTAAGTACTAAAAGCCAGAAATAAATTATGTATACACACACACAGACACACAAACATACCTGTATGGTATTTATGTATGTATGTATGTATGTATGTATGTATGTATGTATGTATGTACACATAAACATACACACACATGTATAGGAAAAGGAAAAATGCCAGGCATTTGTCTAATTTTTTTTACATATACTTTCATGTAATAAACACATTAATTTTAAAGTATACTCTTCCTGGTTTCTGTTTTTCCCTATTTTCTTTCTCCTGGCTCTTACCTATTTTTTCCTTTTTCTTTCTCTTAAAAATATTCGTGTCTCGTTTTTGTTACTCCTCTCTGCCCTGTTCCTCACATACAGCCCATAGGCTTGTACTAGACCAGACACACTTTTCATAGCTATATACACTCAAGTGAGTGCTGGGGCACAGCACGCTGAGCTGTGATTATCACCGCATACCCATGTGCAGTGTGGGTTCCTTGGTAGCTGAGGACTCAAAATGGTTTCTGGCTTCTAGGCTTCTCAAACTGATTAAGCATCTCCCCTTACCATATACTGTAGTGTCAGTGAATTTGCTTTTCTTTTCAGTACGGGTCATTGAGAATGTTGGAAAAGTAGATATTGTTCTACAAAAGAGAGAAAACATTCCTTGGAAATGTCTTGGTCAGCCCTTGGAGAAGCATGATTCCTTTATTCCAAAGAAAGATACAGGTATGCAGTACTCTTGTTTCTTATATTTGCTTTTTTAAATGTTTTAAATTGCATTTTATGTATTTATTTGGCATGTGTCGCTGTGTGGGCGCAGACACACAATGGCTTTTATGTAGGTGTCAGAGGACAGTTTGCAGGAGTTGGTTCTCTTCTACCATATCAGTCCTGGGAATCAAACTCAGGTTGTCAGGATTGGCTGCAAGCACCTTTACCCACTGAGCCATCCCACTGGTTCATCTTTTTTTTAAAAAATAGCTGATGGTGTTCCAGAGTTTTCTTCTCCCTGGTCTCACAATCTTGTTTGTTGTTTGTTTTGATGTTTTTACCAGATGCTGTCTTTGATATTTCTGATTCTCATGTCTGCTCATCTTTCAGCTGATTAGCAGCTGCACATGAAAGTTGGGCTTGTTGCCAGTGTATTCCCTGTGCAGTTGGTTGAGTGTTTTCTCTGAGGAATGTTTGATGCCAGGATTTGTGAGTCTCTGGGGAACAGTATTCTCGCTTGCACAGTCTTTTGGAAGCCTGTTTGCAAAGGAGGCTGCAGTTCTGCAAGTGTGACTTAGTCTTATTCTTCTCTTCCTCTTCTTCCTCCCTCCCCCAAGAATACTATCATAGTTAGCTAAGGCACTATAATGACCACTGACGATGTAGCTTAACAACAGAAATTTGTTCTTTCTCAGTTGTAGAGTTTATAAATCCAGTCACAGTATTGGCAGGGTTAGTCCTCTCTCCTTGATGTACATGAGTGTGGTGTGTGTGTGTGTGTGTGTGTGTGTGTGTGTGTGTGTGTGTGTGTGTCTTCACTTTTCTTAAAAGGTCACCACTCTTCCTGGAAAGGGACACCTATTGCCCTCACTTTACCTTAAGTGACTTTTAAAAGACCCAGTGTTCAAATGTAGTTACATTCTAGGGTACTGGGTGTTACAGTTTTGTCACGCTAATGGCGAGGACACAGTCTAGTCTAGTGCATGTCCATTCCACAGACCCTCAGCTGCTTTTTCAGAGAGCCAATCTGTACTGTTTTGTTCAGATTAGAGGGGGCCTACTGTATGGCTGGGCTAAGTCGGAGAGAGATTAAGTGGGGTGGCAAAGCATCTGAGCACATTAAACTTTTAACCAGAAAGTTTCTCTTCTACCTTGACTCTGGTGTTAGATCCTGCTAGCCTCAGGGAGTTAAATGGATTTTTCTATTAAAAAGCTGCTTGCATTTCTGGCTTAGGATTCCACTTTCTCAGGTCTGCTGAGTCAGTCGTTAGTCATCTGCTTGCCTTGTTGGTTGCCAGCATTTATTTGCATCCCTCTTGTTCTTTCTGTCCTTTCAGATTTATGCTATAAACAACCAAGCATACATGCACAGTCTATTGTAGACATTTAGTGGGTTCAGATACTAACTCCTTGTATTCAACTAAACCTAAACCTAAATTCTTTTAATTTTTAAAATAATTACAAGCTCTAGAAAGCCAAACTAATTTTTATGTTCTCACAGTTCAACACAGAACTAACAATGTGTGGGAATTTCTCCAGTTTCCTAATGACTGCAATTGAGTATCGTAGAAGTCTGAATCAATTGTGATACTAAGTGGAGCTAGTGCAGACCCCATTGTTTAAGAGCTCCATCTCATAAACTTCCCAAACTTCAGGTGCCCATTGTAGTTCCCACACTGACTTTAGAGTTTCCATTACCCGTACCTTGTATTAAAAAAAAAAAAGTGCTAGAGTGTTTTGCAAAACTCAGACAAGCAATATATTTATGCATTTATTATAAAGGACACAGAGGCTTTTGAGAAGAGGTATGGAGCTTCTCTACTGTCTATAGCTGTACCCCTCCATCTCCAGGCACTCCATGTGTCCAGCAATCTTTAAGCTTCCCAAACTCTGTCCCAGGGGTTCCTGTAGAGAATTCATTTAGTGTGATGGGCTACATCATTGGCCATTGTTACCAGCATTCAGGTCCGAATCCAACAGGCTGTACAGAGTCTACTAAGAGTTGCCTCCTTAGAGCAGAAGATCCTATTGCCCTGAACTTTCCAAGTGATTTTCAGTTCTATCTCAGACATACCCTTCACTTAGGAAATTACAAAGACTTACTACTAGAGTGAAGTCTAACTTCCCTGTAGAAGCTCTGTGTCAGAAACTAGAGGCAAAAGCCATTATCTTCATTATTATTTCTCAATTATAAATATAAATTTGTGCTTGTATCAGACACCCTTTTTTTTAAGTGATGTCATATGTTGAAGGCTAATTTAGTCACTATACTGTGAAACAAAAACAGAAATTCTATCCCCAGGTAGGAATGAGAACATATACAAACATAAAATGAGATAGACTCAGGAGAAACCAACAAGGGTGAGTTATGTAGTCCAAACACAACACACTTTAAGGGACCCTCAAGTAAACAGGTGAATTTGATCTTGACTGACTACTTTTAGTCTTACACCATCATTAAAAAAGGAAGTTTGAATCTAAAAAAAGAAAAGAAAGGAAAATCAAGCAGGGAAGCTTCAGCCATGTTCTTGCATGACATTGGAGGGGGCGCGGGTGGTTCACAGTAGATATCCTGCTTTGTAAGTAGCTCGGTGTTTAGGTAACCATTTTCTTTGACAAATGAGCAAAGACCAGTTTTCCTTTCCATGTCTTAAATGATGACCTAAACTGTAGTAAAGCTGAATTCTTTTTTTTTAATTTAAATTCTTTAATTACTACTCATATTTACATATCCATCTCCTCATTCCCTTGCCCTCCCATCCTCCCATGTTCCCCACCCCCCCAGCCCATCCCCCCAACTCCTCCCCAGGGATAATGAGGCCCTCCACCAGGGACCTTCAAAGTCTGTCATATTGTTTGGGGGAAGGGCCTAGGCCCTCCTTGCTGTATTTGGGCTGAAGCTGAATTCTTATCCTCGTCAATGTATTATAACATTTGCCATTCATAGTGCTTGAAGATTTGTTGTGATTATATTCCTCTTATATGAGAGTGATTTAATTTAGAGTAATAACACTATAATACAAGAAGCCTTAAATGAAGCCTTTTCAAAATTAGTGGAAAGGCTGAATAATCATTAGCAGAATACATTCAGTCATTTAATTCTTTTTAAAGTATATAAGATTTCGGAATTTGTTTCTTCAGTATGCAATAATATGCTAATGACCTCATGAATGAGTTATTTTATCAGCCTCCAAATTCTAACAAGCATTTTTGACATGTGTAAGTAGTTTGTTCTCATGTGTTCAGAACATTTTGACTGCAGTCAGGCTCACCGCTAATTGGCTGCTGTCTTAGAAACAGAGTGAGCAACGTGATTAGGCTAACCACTGCTGTAGAATGGTGACAATTTCTACCAGGAGTGTGCTGTGGAGGATGTGCAGGATATGAGTGTTTGGAGCATGGACTTGCTTAGTCACTTGTATCTGTATATTTTGAAATAGCTATATTAGTATTTTTGAGTTATTTTCTATAAACTATAAACAATTTTTAATGTCTAAGAAGTCCTCCATTGGTTCAAGAAATCCCTGTTAGGAATGAATGATTAAAGGTTGTAAATTAGGAGATGAAAAAATAATTAGGTAACAACAAAGAAAGTTTTGGGAAATGTGATCAGAATAGTATGAAGTCGCAAATGTTGGAGGGGTAGTTTATACATCTCTACCTTGTTACACTAAGTGGAAAGACACTAAACTGTCTGTCTGCTCTGGTCCTCTAGTATCTTACAAAGGCCTATTCACATCCCATCTGTCTCTCATCTTTAACAGAAATCTTGTGACTTTTAAACTTACACTGGGCTCTGTTTCTAGCAGAGAAAATAAGATTGACCTTGTGGTATGCCAAGGGTAAGAAGCTGGTCTTGACTGGGGTAGTGCAGACCATTAATTAGTCCAAAGTTGCTTCTGTTCTTCCTCTGTTGGAAACTTTCCTGTATCTTCTGTTTCAGCCTTGTGAAATCCTCTTTTTTTCAGAATGAAAAAAAAAAAAGTCTTTTCAATATTAGGCTATATATATATATACATACACATACATACTCTTCAATTATCTTATCCTCAGTATTTCAGCTTTATCTCATGTATGCCAACATTAGATGTATTTTATTAAAAGAATTTAGATATTTGGAACAGAAGTTTTTGTTTTACTATCTTGTGGTAACTTTAGCTGCTCATTTTCTCTATTCTTATGAAGTCATAAGCTTGACAGGTGAAAAATGCTGTTGTCCCCACAGTAGTTTGTACCATCTGCTCTTCTATATTCCATTCTCCTGAATCAGCTTCATGCTGTTCATTCTGTCTGGCCCCACAGGATTACTACAGGATAAAGTCTTAATTTTTTTAAAAGTTGTAATGTAGGACCGATGTTGAGGAAGGCCATATGTAACTAAGCCTACAGTTTGTAGGTTAAATGATGAAGTTATCTCAGTAATGTTGAATGGTAAGAATGTAAATGTCTAACTTGGGAAGTCTGTAAGTCACAGTAGCCTAGATTCCCCAATGGGTTAAGTACAGCTGAAGAAAGGGGTACTTACTGCAGCAAATCCATTGTGGTGAGTGTAAAAATGGGCAAGTCATTTAAGGTAGCCTCTCCACTATTGTTTACATTCTTAGCTGGGGTCATCCTTGTAGATTCCTAGGAAATTTCCCTAGTGCCAGGTTTATCATTAAGACCATAATGGCTCCCTCTATTAGGGTATCTCTTTCCTTACTCTCTTCTGTTCTTCCCCCAGCTCGACCTTCCTGACCCTCATGTTCCCTTCTCCCCTCCACTTTCTCCTACCTCCCTCCTCTCTCCCTCTGTGCTCACAATTTACTCAGGAGATCTTGTCACTTTCCCCTTCTTGGGGGGAGGGGGATCCATGTATGTCTCTCTTAGGGACCTCCTTGTTTCCTAGCTTCTCTGGGGCTGTGGATTGTAGGCTGGTAATCCTTTCCTCTATGTCTGATGTCCACTTATGAGTGAGTACATACCATGTTTTTCTTTCTGTGTCTAGGTTTCCTCACTCAGGATGGTTTCTTCTAGTTCCATCCATTAGCCTGTGAATTTCAAGATTTCTTTTTTTTTTTTTTTGATAAGTAGTACTCCATTGTGTAAATGTACCACCTGTTCTCTCTTCTGTTGAGGGGCATCTAGGTTGCTTTCAGGTTCTGGCTATTACAAATAATGCTGCTATGAACATAGTTGAACAGATGTCCTTGTGGTATGACCACCTTAAATGCCATCATAGGGCCTTCATCCAGGAGCTGATGGAAGCAGAAGCAGAGATTCACAGCTAAGCACTGAGCTGAACTCCTGGAATCCAGTTGTAGAGAGGAAGGAGTGAGGAGCAAAGAGGTCAAGAACAGGCTGGGGAAACCCGCAGAAACAGCTGACCTGAGCAAGTGGGAGCTCATGGACCCCAGTCTGACAGCTGGGGAACCAGCATAGGACTGAATCAGGACTCCCAAACGTGGGTGTCAGCTGGGGTCTTGGGCAGGCTATGGGGCCGTTGGACAGTGGAACCAGTATTTATCCCTCGTGTATGAATGGGCTTTTGGAGCCCATTCCCTACAGAAGGATACTCTCTCAGCCTAGTTACAGGAGAGAGGACCTAGGTTCTGCCCGAAATGATGTGGCAGACTTTTGTGATCCCCCATAGGAGGCCTCATCTTCCCTGAGGAGCGGATGGGGTGGGATGGGGGGTGGGGGGGACTGGGGGGGGGAGATGGGAGGACAGGAGGGAGAGGGAACTGGGTTGGTATGGAAAATAAGTTTGTTTTTAATTTAAATAAAAATTAATTTAAAAAACAATTGGCAAGTCAAAAGAGGAATAGTGTTCATCCATCAGGAGAGTCAGGATGACATGTACTATACATAGTATGTAATTAGATGGAAACACTTAGACTAGGCACCTGCCCAGGTTTCTCACTTGAGGAGCGCCTAAGGTTGTTTTCCAGTTAGTTACACCTTCCTACATAGGAGGAATGTACAAGGCTAAGATGATTGTTCCTGGACTCCGCCTTCTGTTCTTCAACACCATTCTCCCAGGGTCTGAAACCTCAAAATTCCCTGCCCAATAGCCCCAAGTCTAGTTGTATCCAAGGAGTACCCAGGATTGTTGATGGAAGAATTTGAATGAGTTTTAATGTCTGAGTTCATTCATCCATCCCTGTGTAAACCTCACTTGGTGACAGGTGACGATAAAGATAGGAAAGAGATGAGAGTTGGGCTATAGGCCTTGGGTATCTCAATGTGTGATGCTCTGAGGAACTAAAGAATGCTGACCTGGAGCCCAACATTCTTAGACATTATGAAGGCATATGTGTTCAAGATGCAACACAGAACACATTACAGTTTGGGGCTGATGTATAATTTTTTACTATTTGAACATACAATATCTTGAGTTTTTGGTTGTATTCTCAATATGGGGCCCAAGAGCTAGAGCAATGGTTCTCCACCTTTCTAATGCTGCTACCCCTATACAGTTCCTCATGTTGTAGAGACCCTCAACCATAAAATTATTTTCATTGCTACTTCATTACTGTAAATTTGCTGTTATGAATCATAATGTAAATATCTGTGTTTTCCAATGGCCTTGGGTGACCCCTGTGAAAGGATCATTCAATCCATAAAAGGGTCTTGAGCCATAGGTTGAGACCTACTGTTGTATTTGAATTCTAGTTTTCCTTAAACATTGATTGCTAGTTTGGAGGCCCTTCACTCCCTGTGATCTGGAATAAATTTTTCTATAACAAGTTACGTACTATTAGATGAGAAAGAAAGAAAAAAATGATTGGAATGAATATATTATTAATTGATTCTATGTCTGTAAATACTATTTTCTGAGAGAGGAGATAAACCATTATCAGTCTTTGGGGGTATACTATTTATAATGAAGGGATAATTTATAAATGTTAGAATTTCCGAAACAAATCCTTCTAATAAATGTTGTTTTGTGTGGTGTAAACTATTTTGGAAGCATGGCTATTAAAGTATTTCCAGTATTTATAGAAATGTGTGAGTTCCTTTTACTGAAATCAGTGTATATCACAAACCTGTCGCTTCAGCTGCCACTTAATAAGAGGTTATGTTTTTGTTTGGTTATTTAGACAGGATGTTTTATGATTCATCTGCAAATATAATTCATATATACAAGTGTATAATAATAATTTTCTTTCATCAGAATGTGTTGCTAAGCCTACTTGTCTGTGATAGTACTGTTAAATTCCACATACTCAACTTCCAAAATGTTTTCATTAGGAAAAAAAAAAACAACTTTAGAATGTGACCATCCTTACCAAATAGTTTTCATATGTACAATTAATATCATTGTAAATATAAAGCTTAATATGGATTTACTTACAAAATAAGTATAAGAAGAAATTAAATTTTAATTTCTTGAGACATGTTTTTAATGTGCTATTACATGTTTGAAGAAATAATGTTCTTCGTATTAAACTATGTTATTAATTCCCCATTTTTCAGATTTATAGATTGTTTATATGTATTTATATTTTAGAAAATGAAACGAAAGTAGCCTTGTACAGTTAATGAGTTTTGAGCTGTATAGGCGTCTTAATGAAACTGAAGTTCTAAAGGAGCAGAGCAGAGTGTGGGTTTCCACCTTGTGACCTGGTTGTGTTGCCTTCCAGGCTTGTACTACAGAAAGTGCCAGTTAATTTCCAAGGAATATGTTACTCATGACACGAGGCTTTTCTGTCTGATGCTGCCTCCAAGCACTCACCTTCAGGTGCCAGTTGGGCACCATGTTTACCTCATGCTCAGTGTCACAGGTAAGGGAATTAGAGGCTGGGGTCGGGTGGGGACACATTCTTTTGTACAGTCATCTAAGTTTCTGGGCTCTTGGCTTTAATGTCAGAAAGCCTCTTGGTTTGTGGCTGCAAGAGGAGTGTCAGGACTGTCTTTGCTACTGATAACATGGAGCAGATTGCCTCCAGTGGGAAAGAGGGAGTGAGCACACGGTGGTCCTCCACAGGGAGCATCACAGAGAGCACCACTAGAAACAGACAGTGTCTTTGGTATCTCCTAGGGGCTACACCAGTTATGAGATTGAGTCCATAAAATTCGAAACAAATGAATAATTGCACATGATTTCCTTATTATGCTACCAGTTCAAGATGCTCAAAACTGTGTTCCTTGCTGTGTGGATTCTTTTCCCCTTATTTCATCCTAAATCTCTTCATCTACTTATTTCATTTACCCCAATTCTTACTGGTAGCCAACATTACTTAGCCTCTTGAGGCTGTGGAATCCTTACTTCAGTCTGTGTTTACAGTGGTCCATCTTGTAGACTCCCTGCTGGGATTTGGTGTAGGTGATGTTCCATGATGGTGCTGTTAGGTTTTTCTCTTCATCATCACTAATGCCAGATTACCGTTCATTAGTTGCCATCTTCCTTAGGCATAGTTCTTAACCAGTGAGCTTTAAGATACATATGAAGTAATTAGAGCCATGTATGAAATTTTAGTTTTACAAATGTTTGGTGACTCTTTTCTTTAGAATTTGGTTAGATCATTTTACTTTTAAAAAATAATGCATCCCATGAAATAATTGGATTAGCATTCCTTTCATTCAGCTGCCAAAATAATAATTTTAAAACATTAAAAAATCCTATATATATATTATATATTTATATATTTATATATATATATATTATATAAATTATATAAATATATTATATATATATAAAAGTGAAATGCCTCCCTTTCTTTCCCTAGTGAGCTCATTGGTGACAGCTAACTGTTGCTCAGTATGTGGTTTATAATTGGAATTGTTTTGTCTTTATTTTACATCTCCATGGAAAACTTTTGATGCCATTTTATTGTGGCCTGTTACAAACTTTATATGCTTATCTAGATTCATTGTTGTAGACCATACTTAATTTAAAAAAAAAAAGATTGTCTATATAATGGCTAAGCATTGGTTTGTTAAAATTATAGCCTTGAATTAAAACATGGATATGAAGCATCTTGGTAGAGGTATATATACATTAGTCTTAAGCATACACTGATAGCATCATAAATATTTTCTGTTTTATTTTCATTAAGAGCTTTTTAAGTATTACACTTTCCTTTGTTTTGATTTTTTTTTTCCAGGTGCAGAAATAGTAAAGCCATATACACCCGTGTCTGAATCCTTACTCTCAGACTTTAAAGAACCAGTTTTTCCCCCAAATAAATACATCTACTTTTTGATCAAAATCTATCCTGATGGACTCTTCACACCAGAGCTTGATCGTCTTCAGATTGGTTAGTAATGTTGATTTGTAGCCCTGTTTGTACTGTAGATTGGACCAGAGACCCTGTGTTGTTTCCATGTGGGAGTCTATTATGTACCTTAAACTCAGCATGTCTATAGTGGACATCACCTTCTCTTTGTCTGGCACCACATGTCCTCCATCTTTATTATTTGCAGCATCTCTGTTCATCTCTGCCCTGCTCTAGAAGACTTGCTCATTCCTCCAATCCAGTCAGCCACAAAGTTTAAGGTCATCTTTCCTCTCAACCCTGTGCTCTGAAAGCAAGCTTTCATCCTTTCCGTTTTGTTCACTAACTAATCTCTCATATGGCTCTAACTGGTGTCTTTCTCCTCATCTGCATTTTCCAGGAACTTCTCCAAACTCCTCTGAATGGTCGACTTTTGTTGCTCCCCAGCTTTGCAGCCTCTGGCGGGTCTGCTTTACCTGTACTGCTCAGCACCCCTGCAAGACTTACAAGGACCTCTAGGCTAGCATTTGTGTTCCTTGCAGCCATAGTTTGTTATTCTCATTCTCAGGCTCCTATAGGACCCTCATCTAGAATGCCCATCAGCCCTTCCTTTGCCATAGTCCTTCTAAGAGTCAACAGAACGGCCTTTCCATTATGAAGCCCTCCTTCTCTGAATCCTTTTTTTTTTTTTTAAGATTTTATTTATTTATTATGTATACAACATTCTGCTTCCATGTATATCTGCACACCAGAAGAGGGTACCAGATCTCATAACGGATGGTTGTGAGCCACCATGTGGTTGCTGGGAATTGAACTCAGGACCTCTGGAAGAGCAGTCGGTGCTCTTAACCTCTAAGCCATCTCTCCAGCCCCCTCTGAATCCCTTAATAACAGCTGCTTATGCTCTGTTGTAAGAGTCAGCACACAGCTTGTTTGGAAGGTTGACATTTACAGGTAGAAATTGTCTTGTTTCCAGGACTTAGCATGACAGTTGGCATATACTAGGCTGTCAGGACCTGGAGAGATGCAAAAACTTTACTTGTTTCAGATCCTTTCTCTGTGTTTTCTCATTTTTCTCTATCTCCTTTGGATTCCTTTTGTCTCAATGGCAAAATGTCCTTCCTCTGTCTCTGTCAGCATCAGCTCACACTGGAGCAGCAGGGTGGCCTGCCACTAGAGTCTTTATGTTACTTCTGAAAGCTGACTTAGAAATCCTGTAGTGCGATTGTCTCTTAGTACTATTATTACTATCTTGTGGTGGAAAACTAAAGAAATTATAAGTACCCAAACATTCCCAGATACAGTATTTGAAATTAGTTGAAAATAGTGAAAAGTTTTGACTTTTTATCTTTCAAGTTACACTGGAGATTTCTGATGTACCCCTGGTGGTGGTGGTCTTAGATGAGAGGTGTGTACAATCCTGTCAGCTGATCACCACAGAAACTAGGCACTTGTTTTGCAACTGCCTAAATACAGCTGATTTCTGATCTTGCTGTTTTCATAGGGATTAAGCTCATAATGGCTCTTGTTTCAGGTGATAGGTCTCTTCAAATTTTACTGGGGAAGCTTTTGAATACTTTGTTTTCAGTCTCTCTCCTTCCAGGCTTGACTCTGGTTAATAACCAGTGTGTCAATAGCAAGTGTCTGTTCTCTACCTACCTTGTATTAATTACTCATTGATCTGTTTGTGGCGATAGAATCCTGACATATTTGGATATCTGATGATTGGCTCTGAGACTCCTCAAGCTCTATAGAGACTGATGTGGCATTTACAGTCAAATATCCATCCTGTCACTCATCAGTGCTCTGTCCCTGTTTCCCTTCTAGCTTTTTTGTATTGTTTTGTTTTCTGATTTGTTTATTTCATTTGTTTGTTTAGGAGATTTTGTTTCTGTAAGCAGTCCCGAGGGCAATTTTAAACTATCTAAACTCCAGGAAGTAGAAGATCTCTTTTTATTGGCAGCTGGGACAGGCTTCACACCCATGGTTAATATTCTAAAATACTCTTTGACTTCCGTGTCCAGTCTCAGGTATGTTCCCTTTTTCTAATTACTGTTGTCTGTGAGGCTTTTTAATGCAAGGCATTCATTGCACATGGGCAGTTGACTTGCTCTCATAGCCCCACTTGTCGTCTGTTACTCTGCCTCTGCCTCTCCTATGACTGTATTACTGGTTCTTCTGTCCCATTTCATATGTTTATAATGTGGACTACGTAAAAGCATTCACCAAGTTCACTCGGGATATTTCCACCTGTGCATATTTTAAATGTTAATAGTAATTTACATTTAATGAGGTTCCTTTTTTTCCTTTGAAGGAAGGTGAAATTGATGTTCTTCAATAAAACAGAGGATGATATAATTTGGAGATGCCAACTAGAGAAACTAGCCTTTAAAGATAAAAGGTATTGTACCTGCTAACTCAAATTTAAATTTTCCTGTATCCTGGAGCAGTTCAGGAAAGTGTGCTGGTAGCTGGAGCACAGTTGACTGTTGGGGGCTTTCTTGGGTCCTCAGTAAGACACATCTCTGTGCCTGTACGGGAGAGGCAATGCTCACCATTGTCAGCAGACAGTCTTCATTTTTAGTTGACTGAGTTAATGGGTATTAATAGCCTTGTCACTGATTTTCTTTTTATGCTGGTATTATCAAGAGAATGCAAACCTTGTCAAGCTGAACTCAGGGAGAAAGACTAGCACAGCAAGAGCCTATGTCATTATAAAAGAAGAAAAGCAGCATAGCACAGTCACCTGCAAGCAGTACAAATTCAAGAATATTGAGCTAGACAGGCCACTGTATTTTATAAAGCATTTATGTAATCATCTATTTCTCAGAATGTCAGGACTGTCTAGGTTGCATAAGATATCTGAGGTGATTATTTATGTCATATAGTCTCATAAAAACCAAGTTACCAGCCTTGAAAAGCCCGAACACCCTTAGATGCCACCGTCCCTAGGGTAAGACTGTTAGTAATAGGGAATGCTGTGGGGCTCTTTGCTGTGTTTCTATTACTTCCCACAGTCCTCTGTCTCCTATAATGAATGGCTCATAAGTTAAGGCTGTAACTTGAACATGCTTAGCCTCAAAGCACTACTGTTTTTAACCTAGCTAAAACCTCTACCTGGGCATATTTATGCTAGTGAGACAGCTAAGAATGAATTCAAAAAATACAGATAACCAAATTCCAAGCTTTCACACTAGGAAACATTGCCCAGGAAGCCTGTAGACCAAACCCTAGTTCCCATGTCCTCAGCTTTAAACCTTACTGCTTCAGGATGCAGGAGAGAGAGCTCAGTGAGCAAGAGCCCTGATTACTATTGCAGAGCACTCACATGGTGGCTCACAACCATTCACAACTCCAATTCCAGGGAATCCAGTGCCCTCTTCTGACTTCCACAAGCACCAAACACTCACATGATGGGTGCATATACATGCAGGCAAAACACTCACTCATAAAAAGTAAATCTTAAGCCAGGTAGTGGTGATGCACACCTATAATCCCAGCACTTGGGAGGCAGAGGCAGGCGGATTTCTGAGTTCAAGGCCAGCCTGATCTATAGAATGAGTTTCGGGATAGCCAAGGCCACAAAGAGAAACCCTGTCTCAAAAAACAAACAAACCCATAAATAATCTTTAAAAAATTAATTAAAAATAAAGCTAATTGCTTGAACTTTTCTTTAAAAATTGCTTGGCTTCGTGGGCCTGTGCCTTTGTCCCAGATTCAAACAGTGACCTGTCCTGCTCGCTTCACTACCCAGCTGTGAGGTATGGAGACCATGTAAATGATTTGGGAACTGGGACGCCCTCCCTGGGGTATTTAGAATGGGCTAGAGGCCCTCTATAAAGGAGAGAATGGTTTGCCTTACTAGAACCCCTGTTTTCCCCAACATCTAAAAGATTTTAAATGGACATGGGTAGGCTTTAAAATAAATACATTTTTCTAGTAAATTTTTGACAGAATATTGCTAGATTCCTTAAAGAAACGTTTTATAAAATTTAAGAGATTTATTCTAATCACTGGACATTATACCTTAGTCTGCTATTAAGAGTTCATTTTGATCAATTGGTATGAAGGAGCATGTACCTGTGAACATGAAGTAGTCTTGTTTTGGTCTTCATCATTGGGTTGTTGGTTGCTTAGGCTACAATACTGAGGGTTTGTTTTTACTCCTGCCCCTGACTGTACTCAGCAGCTGAGTGACTCTCACTTAGTGTATCTGATCATAGAATATGTTCCGTCAGCCTGAGGCCCCCATCAGTCATCCTCAGGGATGCTTCTGTTTGGAGATAGGTTTTGTTGTTACTGGGGTTTTTGTTTGTTTGTTTGTTTGTTTGTTTGTTTGTTTTGTGTGTGTGTGAGGTGGGGTTTTTGTTGTTGTTGTTGTTTTTCCCAAGACAGGGTTTCTCTGTGTAGCTTTGTAGACCAGGCTGGCCTGGAATTCACAGAGATCCCCCAGCCTCTGCCTCCTGAGTGCTGGGATTTAAGGCGTGCACCACCACTACCTGGCTTCATTGTTACTGTTTTTAAGATTTATTTATTTTTATTTTATGTGTATGAATGCTTTTCTTGCATATATGTAAGTGTACCACATGCATGACTGGTGCCCAAAGAGGCTAGACAAAGGTATTAGATTACCTAGAATTGGAGTTACAGATGGTTGTGAACTGCCATGTAGATGCTGGGGAAAGATTGGTGCTCTTTTCAAGAGCAGAAGCAAAAGTGTTCTTAACTGCTGAGCCATCTCTTTAGCAACTGGAGCCTTTTTTTATTTTTTTTTCACAACTGTGGAGAAAGAGGGGCTACTAACATGTAGTTATTAAAGGCCAGTAATGGCTCAAAATGCCATAAGTTTGGGCTGGGAATCCCTGTATTGTATCATGATTTTTAGTAATAACAGCATTGTGTTCTGTCATGTGAGCATACAGTTTATTTAACCAACCCCTGCTGTTTGACATGGTGAATTTTCTGTACTCCCCTGACTGCTTAGGATGAATGTGCTGATGAGACACAGGTGAGACTGTTTTCAGTCTGGGAATACTTTCTGACAGAAGTCCTCAGCACAGAATGCTGTCCCAGCAGTAGCATTTAATGTCGTTAGTGCCCTTAGCTTTCCATTGGAATGGAACAAAGAAGAAAAGAATCCCTGGCAGCTCAGGAATGGGTCACAGAGGACAGCTTGTTTCTATGCCCGAGGGAAGGCCAGGCATCACTCTATGAAATTCTGTGCTGTCTACAGAGCGCCCCAGCACAAGTAGCCCAGGGATCCCATTCAGAGATGTGGACTTTCTCCCACTCCAGGTGAAGCTCTTTTTTCATTCAGGACAGCAGCACCTTCACAGTGACCTTAAGTGACCTGTACTGCCTTTTCATTTTGTTCATAAGTACCAGACTATAGGCAAGGAACAGTTCTGTGACTAACTGCAAAGGCATGATAAGTTCATTTGAAATACAGCCATAGAAGGCCATCTTTGGCTGTTAATTGACCATGGCAGAAAGGCATTTGGATAAAAGATAGTAATGGCATTTTAGTGAAACAAGATGTGGGTTGAGTTTCCTGGATCCAAAATGCCTGGAACCAGAAGTCCTCCAATTGTAGAGTGAGAGTTTCCCAGTGTTTTTGTAGTCTTCACTGACTGGGTATCTACTCTGAAATCATAAGAGCTCCAGAATCTGATAGAACATCATAGTGTCATGTTGGTACTCAGGAAGTTTGTGATGTTTGAGTGTGTTGAATTGGAGTTTTCAAGTGAGTATGCTTACCGCTTATTGGGGGAGGCAGTTCTAAGTAGCATTGTTTAGAACTGCTTCGCAGACTTAGAACCTCTGCCTGGTGCTCTTGGTCTGCTGCTGCTGTTCCTGGCCTGTCAGTGCCAGCAGTGAGGCAGCAGTGAGGCAGCAGTGCCAGCCACAGTCTAGTCTCACATTCAGCTTCTTGATCCTCTCACTCAGGGAGCCTGTCCCCGAGGCTTAGACTGATGTGCGCTTGGTCCCTGGTGCTGTCGAGATGGCAACAGAGCAGGTGTGGCAGGACTTTGGTTTTCTAGCTTTTAGCTGGCATTTCACTTGGTAACTCACTAGACTCTGTGCCCTCTTTAATTTCCACACGTCTGATTTTATAACATTTAAGTGCTCCTATATTTTGGCCACTAGGGATACAGTAGCTACAGCTGACATGACCCTGGCTTTCATGGATTTTAGGGGTCTGAAGGCAAAGTGGACAGTGGGATAATTCTTTTGGGGGCTAAAGTAAGGGCTGTGAAGAAAAGGCAAAGGCCACCATTTCTACAGTACATAGAGCCAAGAACAGTGGGGTCATAGCATTTGCCAATGGACATGAAGCTTGAGCTAAGATCAGAAGAGTGGCTCCTAGGAACATCACAGAAGGAAGACTGAGTAGGCAGTGCACATTGTGAAGACCAAGGGAGAGAGGCTGGAGCCAGGGCTGCTCATAGGAAGAATGTATAGAAAGCATGAAAGGAGAGACTTCCAAGAGGAAGGCTAAAGGTCTGGCACACACAGCCAAGTGAGTACCACTTATAGGGTTAGTACTAGGCTCTGGACAGGGAGACTACATCTGCCTGATAAAGTCAAATAGGCTTCTTAGTCAAATTGTCCCAGGGTCTGGAATTTATGGGAAGATTTAAGTGGGGATTAAAACACCTGTCACTGAAAATGGCTCCTTTCTGTGACTCACACAGGCAGATTATTAATAGGAGTGTTACAGCCTCTGAGATCCCATGGAAGTGTCTTGCTAATGAGGTCAAGAAAAGAAACAAAAAACAAAAACAAATCATTGCCCTTATCCACAGCAAGGCTATTCCTTAGATTGCCCTTACCCATAGCAAAGCCAATACTTAGTGAATTTGCATTCACATGAATGTCTTTATTAATGTTTATTTAGAACCTGTCCAGTCTTGATAAACTGTCATTTGGAAAAGGAGCCTTACTGACTTTGAAGTTTGACAACAGTAGGTTTGAAAGAACAGACTTTGAAAACTCTTCTTTTCTTTGCTTGTCCTAGATTTGATATTGAATTTGTTCTCTCAACACCTTCTTCAGAATGGAATGGCAAACGGGGACATGTGTCACCAGCTCTTCTCTCTGAATTTTTGGAAAGAAGTTTAGAAAACTCCAGAGTCTTCCTTTGCATCTGCGGACCAACACCATTTACAGATGAGGGGATAAGGTGAGCGACAGTTGGGGCACTGGAAGTCTGAAGTGGAAGCTCACAGAGAGAGCACTCAGCAAGCCTTTTGGTTCCTCCTGCCTACCAACATACTCTTAAAAATCTGTGGTAGCTGCGGAAATATTGGCATTTTCAGTCTCCATGCCAGGAGCAGGAGTTGGGGCCTGGATTATGCTTAGCATTGGATAACACTAGAAAAGCGAGATTCAGCCAGCAGTTAATGTCCTCTGCCCATGGCTGTCAGTATGAACAGTCATAAGATCAGGGTCACAGTCTCATTTGGGACATTGGGCTCTGGATCTCTTCCTCTACCAACTTTAATGTAAATAGTTATGAGTAAGCCATTTTCATTTCAGTGTGGCTCTCTGCCTTTGTTCTCTGCAGCTGTGTAGAAGTTGGTAAATAAAATACAGTGATCCCAAGCCAAGCAGCAATCAAGTGAGGATACTTGATTGTATAACATAAGTAAGCAAGGCCCATAGCAGGACCTCACAGTGAAGACAACCTTAGTCTAATTCTAAAATGACACTTTAAAATATTTGGATAAATGTCCCCAGTGTTGGATTTTTAGGTTTTAAGTTCTGACTTCTTAAATTTGTTTTGTATAAACCTAACATTTTCATGATAATTTGAGTCTTGTTTTATTGTAAAATTTATTTACAAAGACCCCTTACTCCAAATTTTAAAGAAGCATTTATTTTTGTAGGAACAAAGGCTAAGTATTACACTCTCACTGCATTACAGCTCTGGCTCAGATATCTTCAAGCACTTTTTAGGCTGCAGTCATACTGTTAGGTGATGGACACTGCAGACCTTTGGCATAGAAAGACTGGCTACAGAGGAATCTGCACACCTCTGTTCCTCCCCCATTATTGGTGGTCTTTCAAGCTCAGGGCCATGTCTTCTTCATTTTTGTTCATTTGTTTCTGCTCATCATAGACACTCCTTTGCACATTGGAACCACTCGATATGTGCATTAGAGAGTAGGTTGTCATGACTGTGGCGGTTTTAAATGCTGTAAAGCAACTATAATCTCTACAGGTCTTCTCTAAATTTTGCCTCAAAACTAGTCCTGCAATGACCAACTGGCTTATCCAGGAGGCTCATCAGGACTCTTAACCGTGCCCTACGACACCCTGAGATTGCCTACCCTGAGCAAGCTACACCAAGCTGCCTGTCAAGGGGATGTGACCCAGATCAGTATTTGCATTTCATAGCATCTCCCTGTGGCTTTCAGTTCAGACTCATTTCCCTGATTTCTTGTCCTTACCATCTTAATGGAATGTGTCTTTCTTTTTGAGACCAGGTCTCAATATGTAGCCCTGACTGACCTCAAACTCAGAGATATGCCTGCCTCTCTTCCTTTCTGCCCCTCTGCCCGTCTGCCTTTCTGCCCCACTGCACCTGCCTGCCCGTCTGCCTTTCTGCCCCACTGCCCCTGCCTCTGCCTCCTGGGTGCACCATCAACAGTGGCAGGAGGCTCTTCCTTTGTCATAGTTTTGTTGTTCTGTAAAATAAATGTCCTTGCCATCCTTTCTAGGACCCCTGAGTTACTCTCCTGTCTGCTGTATGCTGCACAAAAGTCAGTTCTCTAGCTCCTTCCGTTCCACTTCAAGCCATGGATTAAAAATACTCTAAAACGTTGTACTGTACTGAACATATGCACAGTTGCTGTCATCACTCCCTAGGCAGCATAGCATAGCTATATGGCATTTACATTTTTTTTATTCATTGTAGCTAATCTGGAGGTAATTTAAAGTATTTTGAGAGACATCCTTACATAAGACACTGCCATTTTTTGAGGTTTATGAGAGTCTGCAAACTTTGGTGTCCATGGACAGGCCTACAACCAGTTCCCTCAATACCAGCTGGATAACTAGCTGTATCCCAAGCACACACACCCTCCACATCTCATGAGCACTTGGCAATTTGTATAATAAAAGTTTAGAAGCCTGTACCCTAAAAACAAAAACAACTTAGAATTCCTTGGCCAATAAGGATGCTTTGACCCACACACTACCTTGTATTGAAAACCTGAATAAGTAGACTCAACTTCAGAGGATCACACTGTCCTGTGATGAGACAAATGTGACTAAAATACAACTTGGAGCACCATGGATGGAGTCAGATACTGTCACCTAGGGGTGTGTGTTTTGAGGAGACCAGAACCATGTGGTCATAAAGGACCTATGTTATGCATTATGGCTCACACCAGTCAGAACTGGAACTGATGTGCACACCTATAATCCCAGTATTCTGGAGGCCAGATCAGCCTGAGCTATTTAATTAGACCCTGTCTCAAAAGACAGAACAAAGCAAAACATACTTTCCCTAAAAATAATACACTTTCTGTTTTTCAGGTTGCTGCATGATCTTAACTTTTCCACTGATGAGATCCATGGGTTTACAGCATAACGAAAAGCTGCCATTGTCTTTTATTCAACTGGGTTATATTTGTGATTGCTTAGGATTTTTTAAAAGAATTTTGTATGTACGAAAGGTTAACCAGGCTTCCACTTCTGGAATGAAGTCACATGTCTTCAGTACAGGTACCTTGGTTTAATTTTGTACTGTGACTTACTTTACTACTGATGCCTAACCTGGGAGGTCAATCATGGCAGCAGATGCATACAAGAACCTTTGTTATGAACTGCAAGTTTTCCTTACCACTGAAATGTATCACTGTTCTGCAATAAACACTTGTATTTTATGACATTATAAAGTAAGCAATCATTTTGATCACTTTCTATGCTGCAAGATGTCTTCTGAGCAATACAGATTAAATTTTACACTGCACTGTTTACTCAGGAATTGATGGTGTATGTCATCATTAATCTTAAAACATGGAATGCTGTAACTATTGGTGAATAGTTCTGTGGGTGTCCATGGCATTGATACAGAGTAGAATAAAATTATACTTGTATTCCCTGTGTTGAACTGAAATGAAACAAATGGAGTAGCTGTCTTAAAGAGAAATTTATTTGCGTTTTTTGTTTCGTTTTGTTTTTTCTTGTTGTTGTTTTCTTTTGAGAGTCTCACTTTGTAGCTTTGGCTGGCCTGAAATTTGTTACGTATACTAGCCTGGCCTGAAAATTGTGGCAATCCCCCTGCTTCTGCCTCCTGGTGTTGGGATTAAAGAAGTTTAAAGAAGATTTTAAAGACACCAGTAGAGTTCAGTGTCCAAGCCCCAAATGGTAGAAGAAGAAAACTGACTCCTACAGGATATTCTCCATGTTTGCAGAGTAGCAATGCACCACCCCCCATGCACAGACACTAAATAAATATAATTTAAAAAAATTTTAAGATACCAATAAAAAATACTGGAAGTGCTTCATACTTGCAGCTTGGGACTAGGTTTTATTATTGAGCTTACTAGAACACTAACAACTATTTCTAAGCCCAGACCAAAGGTATCAGCAAAAATTAAAGTGTGGCATCCAGCCCATGGCCTGAGATAACCACTCTTCCTTCTGCAGCCCATCCATACCAGCTGGGGAAAGGAGGAACATTCTGTCCTCAGTGGTTCTCTCCAGGCTGGCTGCTTCCCTGGCAGCTGGCAGATCAGCGGACTCTGGTATAGACAGTCTTCAAATCCTTCCAAATGTGGAACTGAGCAGAGAGTATCGAGAGCTTTTCAGAGGGCTGTATTGAACACATAGGTGGCTGCTGCACTCTCTCCTAATCCACGCAGCAGCAGTATTTATACAGACAGTGTTGGGAGACGTCCATGGTTTTCCATGAATGGTTTTGTAAATAGCTACCATCTCTGAAGAATGCAGCATTAGCACTTCCCAAAGGACCAGCTTGCTGCTTGTGAAACCTCTGCTGGCAATGGCTGGTTAAACACCCATTCTTCCTGTCTTCCTCTTCCAAGGCAGGAGTCTAACAGCTCAGCTGCAGCCCCTGCTGCTCACAGAACTTCAACTCCTCCTAGTTACCTCATCATGTTTTCCTCTGCAAGGAAGTGTGTGCCATCTTTTCATCTTTTTATTGTTTCCAGTAGTTCATTGGTAATGTGTCAATAGGCTGTCTTTCATAAGTATCTTTATGTCTCGTCTTTTCTAAACGTTTTCTTTCTCCTCCAGTCCTGTTCCAGTTACTTCAAGGAAAGTTTCCCCTCTTACACCTCTTCTTTGTTCCTCCTTTTTTGTATGTTAAAGGAGGAGAAAAGCCAGAAGTGCCATTCCCTCTTTGAATAATTTCCACTCACATATTAGTTTACACATTAGTAGTTCCAACATGGAACTACTAACACAGATTTCCAGGACTGTGTAGTTTTTTGCCCATTTGTTGATTGGATAATTTGTTCTTTGGGTTGTTTTTTGTTTTGTTTTGTTTGGTTGGGTTCTTTGTATATTCTAGACATTAATCCCCTGTCAGTTAAGTAGCCGGCATAGATTTTTCTTCTCCCATTTTGTAGGCTGTCTCGTCACTATTAATTGTTTTGTTTACTGTACAGAATCTTTTTTTAATTCCAGGCAATCCATTTAGCAACTCTTGCTATCATTTCATGGACCTTAGGAATCCTATTTGGGAAGTCGTTGCCTGTACTGTCAGTGTTTTCCTCTGGTGTTTTCAGGTGTTAAATTAAAGCCTTTGCTCCATTTAGAATTGATTTTGTACATTTTTCTACATGCAGATATCCAGTTTCCCCAGCACCACTTGTTCAAGAGGCTACCTTTTCCTGGGGTGCCCTTGTTGTAAATCAGATGTGTATAGCTATTTGGGTTTACTTCTGGGACTTTGTTCTATCCCATTAGCCTACATGCCTGTTTTTGTGCTAGTAGCATGCTGGATTGTTACTCTAGTGCTGTAGTATAGTGTCAAGTCAGGTATTAAGATGTTCTTGGTTGTTTGGGTGTGATGATTTGAATGATGTCCCCTAGAGCCTCCAATCTTTGAAGGCTTGGTTCCAGTTGGTGGCACTATTTGGGAAGGATTAGGAGGTGTGGCCTTGATGGGGGAAGTGTGTCACTGGTGGTAACTTTGCGAGTATATAGTCTCCCTCTAATTCTAGTTAGTTCTCTGCTTTGTGGTTGAGGTTGAGCTCTCAGCTTCCGACTGCAGCTGCCATGCCACCCCTCTATGATGGACCCCAGCCCTCTGGAACCATAAGCCAAAATAAACCTTCCCTTCCATAAATTGCTTCAGGGCATGGTGTGATCACAGCAATAGAAAAGTAACCAATACACTGGCTGCCTGTTGTGGCACTTTATAGATTTAGGGTTGTTTTGTCTATTTCTGTGAAGAATGTCATTGAAATGCTTGATTTCTTTTTTATTTTTATTTTTTCTCCATTTTTCTACTTAAATTAGAAACAAGATTGGTTTACATGTCAATACCAGTTCCCTCTCCCTCTTTTCCTCCCCTGCCCCCCACTAACACCCTACCTATTCCATACCATTTCTGCTCCCTATGGAGGGTGAGGCCTTCCATAGGGGGGTCTTCAGAGTCTGTCATATCCTTTGGGATAGGGCCTTGGCCCTCCCCCATGTGTCTAGGCTGAGGGAGTATCCCTCTATGTGAAATGGGATCCCAAAGTCCATTCCTATGCTGTGGATAAGTACTGATCCACTACAAGAAGTCCCATAGATTTCCCAGGCCTCCTCACTGACACCCACATTCATGGGGTCTGGACCAGTTCCATGCTGGTTTCCCAGTGATCAGTCTGGGGACCAAGAACACCCCCTTATTCAGGTCAGCTGTTTCTGTGGGTATCACCAGCCTGGTCTTGACCCCTTTGCTCATCACTGTAACAATAAGTCTTTCCACCAAAGCCAACCGAGGCCTGTTGCCACATGGGCGCTTTCTGCCAGGCTGCCCAAGTTCCACCCACCACCATGTTAAGGTCCCAAGTACACACAGAGACAAATGCTGTTTGGCCAATGACTAGGATTTCTCATCTGCTAGCTCAGCCTTAATGATCATAAATCTATATATTTTATAAGACTTATCAAGGATACCTTCTGCTGGCACCCTCTCTTGCCGGCAGATCACATGGCAACTCCAGGGCAGAGACCAGGAGGAAGAGAGATGGGAACTACTTCCTTCTTGCCCTTGTTTATATCTGAGTCTCCCTGCTATATCACTTCCTGCCTGGATCACCACTTCTTTATTACATTTCCCAGAATCTTCCTTGACTCCTGGTCCCGCCTAACTTGCTGCCTCATTGGCCAAAGAGTACTTTATTTATCATCCAATAAGACAAATACATACACAGAAGCACTTCCCCCATCACATCACTCCTCCTCCTCTGCAACTGGGTCCTTAATTTCCCTCAGTATTAATGGTCTTAACTCGACTATAAAAAGACACAGGCTAACAGAATGGATACATAGACGAATCCATACTTCTTCTGCATATAAGAAACACACCTCAACCTCGAGACTTCAGAGTAAAGGGTTGGGATAAGATATTCCAATCAAATGGTCCCAAGAAACAAGCTGGGGTAGCTATCCTAGTATCTAACAAATTGGACTTCAAACTAAAATCAATCAAAAGAATTGAAGGTCATTTCATATTCATCACAGGAAAAATTCATCAGGAAGAAGCCTCAATTCTAAACATCTATGCCCCAAATACAAAGGCACCAACATTCGTAAAAGAAACATTATTAAAACTCAAATCACAAATAAGACCTCACACAGTTATAGTGGGAGACTTCAACACCTCACTCTCACCACTGGACAGGACCACCAGACAGAAACTTAACAAAGAGAAAAAGGAACTAACAGAAGTTATGACCCAATTGGGATTAACAGATATCTAGAGAACATTCCATCCAAACACAAAAAATTATACCTTCTTTGCAGCACCACATGGAACCTTCCCTAAAATCGACCACATACTCAGCAACATAGCAAATCTCAACAGGTACAAAAGATTTCTTTTTTAAAAATACATCTTTGTTTTAATTTACTGCTGCTACCAGAAAAAGTCACCACAAGCTTAATGACTTTAAGCTGCATGCTTGTATTATTTCCTGGTTCAGGGTGACTCACCTGGGTCCTCTGCAGAAGCTCTGTCAGGATTTCGAGCCATGGTGGGCCCTTCCCCAGTGCCCCAAAGACACGTGTTCTCCCAGCCTCCTCCAAGTACTAACACGAGACCAGAGCATCTGTCGCCTGGTCTGCAGGGCACCTGCTCCTTGCAGCAGCAGTAGGACTGCCCTCATTTCCTTCATGGCCATCTGCTTCTAGAAGGTGTAAATTATTTCGTGCCCTGTGCGTTCAAGGATAATCCGTAGTACGTAAGGCTAAGATTTCTTTATTCAGATAAACGCCAGCCCAAACGCAAGCCAGAGCATGCCAGGGGCAGCAAGGCAGCCAGGCCAGAGAGAAGGGCTATTCACATGTGCCCGGTCCCTTAAGAATTCCCCCAGGCATCATCCTGAACACCCCTTGACTATGCCCTGACAGGTGTAGTTAAGTACACCTGTAGCCAGCCCTTAGGAGGCGTGGTTACAGTGTCTCCCTACAATTCCCCTTTTAGTCTAAAAGAGGATTAAAACTTAATAGTGTAAAATATCCAAGATTAACAATCATAAAGGTGAAATACAAGAAGATACAATAATCTGCTATTGTACATCTTAACTATGTCTATTCCAACCAAGCCCTAAAGTCATGTGGAAAGGGAGTCTAACTTGAACACCTCCTTTCAATCCCAACTCTAAACAATAAGAAAGTTATTCCTAACTAGGCTTACACTACCCTAATAAACAATAATGGGGAGCGGGGGCGTAGCATCTTCTAAGTTACTTCCTGCTGAAATGGGACAATGGTAGTCTCGTGGGGTCCTGTGGGGGAAAAAAAATGTTAGTACAGGGAACATCTCTAATGGGTTATCTCCAGTCCATGTTAGATGAGATTTGCTTGATTGAAGATTTAGGTTGAAATCCTCAACTTGATTGAAGTCAGTACTCAAGGCTCTGGTCGGAGTATCAGTCAAAACTGAGTAAATTGAATCCAGTGTGGTAAACAATGTAAA